GTTAACGTATTTTAATTACCTATTTATTAAGTACTAATAAATCACAGTAATATTTATTTTGATATTTTATTTAATTTTATTTTGGTCAATTGACCAAAAACAATTTGACCGGTCAATTCCACAACCCTAGTTATTACTTAATTTTATTGCTGAAATCAAAGTATTATTATAGGAACACATCTTCAAAAATTTTCATAAACCATTTTGTTTTCTTCTGTTGGTCCCGTTAGTAATCATGGAATCGCCCTTAGGTTAATATCTGATAAGATTTAGATTTTATACGGTCAATTTTTTAGACCATTTTTTTATAATACCCATAATATTTATACCGAGGGGGAAACCACCTTCCGCAATACGTGTACATTTGGTCCGAAATCACTTGCAATCGTCGCTGCAATCCCGCAGTCACTTCGCAATCGCCGAAATCCCTACCTGCAATCCCGCAATAACCGAAATCTCTATCTGCAATCCCGCAATCGCGGAAATCCTATACTTGCAATCCCGCAATCAGGGGGGCAATTTTTGAGAGTGTACGTTTATTTGCGTATACTCTCAGTTGCGCACGACATAAATCGTATACCTACGTTTCTATTTATCAATTTTTGAACGCCATGCGCAAAACAAAATAAGCCCAAGTTAAGTCTTCGCATTTATGCGAATGATAAATCAGGCAACGTTTTAAATTGGGGTGCGTTTGAACTATTTTTATTTATTTTATTTATTTATTGTATATTTCATTGTATAATGGTTTAACAAAACAGTTCTATGATTCAATGTCCTCAGTAATTTATACCACATTAGTTCGTTTTCTTTATAACTTTTTGTTTTGCAGGAATTTTGAGTGTTTTAAATTAAAACTTTAATTTAAGTTATCTTTTAAGCCTTTTTGAATCTCACTGGTGGACTTTATCCCATGGTTATAGGTGGTTGTAACCACTTGATTTATGTAACTTTAGCTATTGCATCTAGGAATATTAATGGATTCATCACTCCTAGGCGGGTAATTATCTCTAAATTCTTTAATTGCGTTATCTATGTTTGTAAAATATAAATACTTTAATAAATATATTTCACTAATATTTTTTGAAAGGGCATGGCTTGGGGAATAATAATAAACTACTGGTCAAACACTTTATTAAATATTCTTAAAAAAATTGAAAAAGAGTAGTTAGAATTTCACAGAGTTGAGCTTCACAAAGTTGAGAATTTTTAAGAAGTTTCTTATATATATAATTTCACAGGGTTTTTTCTAGGATCCTCTAACTATATCATACTAAAACACCCAAAAACACTATTATTGCACAAAATAAAAATCACTATTTTTGTTAACTTACCTTTATAAAAGGCTTCACAAAGATGAGAAATCTTTATGACCACGTGTCGAATTTAAAAAAAACATTACCTATAAAATACACACACTTACTATCAGTGCTCCAAACAAACTGACATTGAAACAAAATATTCTTGCTTGTTGTCAAGCAGAATCCCCATTTGTTCATTTTTGTATGTAGTGCCATCTTTTGAATGATATATTAATTAAAATGCCCTTCACAGAGTATGAGAATTACTTTGGTAACAGGAGTTTAAAAAGCTGCTAAAAGGAATTTTAAAGGATTTTTATGTTTTTTTAGTGTAATTTAAACTAAAAAAAGTTTGTTTCTTTGCAAAATAAATTCAGAGTTTTAATTTTGTCATTAACTTAGAAGTTATCGTTAGAGCTAAATCATATTTGTTGGGGAGGAACAATCACAGAGTTGAGAAATTGGGTGTTTTTTTGATAATGTGACCACAAAATTTCAGATTTATAAAATTTCTAAGGATTTAAATTTTTGATGGTTTACTGAATATTAATAAACTAAGCACTTGCTGCCACATTAAATAAAAAATAAATTAGTTTTGGATTTTACTGAATTGGGAACGACCTAATAATGAATTTTGAGATAATCACCCAGGCGCGAATTTTCAAGACAACTGAAACCCGCTAATTTTGAAAAATCATCTCTTCCACATCTAAATGAATAATGAAATAAAACCCCAAAAGCTCAAATTAAAAAATCTTCAATATTAACCACAAATTTTGAAAAACTTTCATTACATCCCAAACTCAAATTTAAAAAAAATATCCCTCCCATACCCAAGTGCAAATTTTAAAAAACAATACCGTAAACACGGGTGGCTTTAGCTCACTTTCAAACTTAAGCTTAAAATTTTTGTGGTTTTAACAATCATAAACATTAAATTTTGAATACCAAAATTTGAGTCTTGAGTTGCTCTTTCATAATAACTATGTTATAATATTACATAGGGCTGAGTTTCAAAAATAAAAATTAAAAACTGGGTGTGCAAAAGACACTTAACCTTATTTCCATGCACATAACGTATACGTTTGTGACATTTAGCGAGTATTTCGCCGCTCGCAGTAAAACGTATGAAAATTTGCGTATACGCAAAGATGCGATGGCTCAAAAATTAGATTTGTTACAAATCGTACATTTGCGAACGCTTTCAAGAGTTACGAACGGTCAAAAATTGGCCCCCAGGTTGGCTAAAAGTCAACAATAAGGTACAGCTGTGTTGCCAAATTTATTTAAAATAAGTGTAACTAGGGAAGATAGTTCAAGTTTTTATATAAAATAAAAGTTTATAATACACATGTGTTTGCCCGGTTTTGCCTAAATTATGTAGGTTAAATTTAAATAACAAATTTTACTAATATATATATAATATTTATTGTAAATACCAAAAAAATATTTGAATTATGCATCTTCTCCATTTTTAAACAGCCAACGCCAACCTTGTTTTATCACTATTATTGTAGGCAGGGATGGGCATGATTTAGATCATTTTGGATCTAAATCTCTAAATCCGATCCGATACTGATTTATGATTTAGGATTTAAATCCGATTATATAAAATGATTTATGATTTAGTTACATTTTGGTACAAGATTTACGATTTAGAATCTAAATCATTTATCTTTAAAATTGCGTTAGTGAATATGAATTAAGCAAGCAAGTATCATTTTTAAAGATTATGGTTGTGAGAAATATTGTTATCAGCAAGACGCTCAGTGTCGTTCAGCTTTAACGATTTGGATGAAATTTTGTAAAAAGATATTTTTGGGGTAGCTGATTATGAATTTTATATCAATTTGCAATTGCGGATTCAAAATGGCAGATATCTATGCGCAGTAGGTACCAGATGGTTGGATCTATGCGCAGTGGTTACTAGATGATCGTAGCTATGCACAGTAGTTACTAGATGGCCGTACCTATGCGCAGTAGTTTTCAGATAGTTGCATCTACGCGCAGTAGTAACGTGGACTTTCGGCCTAAAAAGTTTTACTTTACCCAAGTATTCTTGGCAAACACAATTTTTTTTATTTCGTGTTCAAATTTCTACAGAAAAAAGTTTCGTACCTATTTTATCCCAAATATTTTTTGTGTTTTAATTTTATAGCTACTTTTACCACGAGAGAAACGAGACGAGGCACTCTCGAGAGAAGAGTATTCTCGTCGAGACGAGGACCCATTTTCTCTCCCTGTACGAGACGAGACAAAAGAAGGACTTCTCTTCTTTTCTCGTTTCTCTATCGCAATCAAGCTAGCAATCATATCTACAATTCAACCCAATTCAACGAAAATCGTCTCTCAATCCTCACAATTCCATTGCAGTCCTGCAATTACTAATTTCAGGTCGTAATCCTCCAAAATTGCAACAATTTAAAAAGAATTCTCCGAAATCACCGAAATCATGGGATTTCGGTCGCAATCCTCCGAAATCACCGCAATCATTCCGAAATCATGGGATTTCCGCAATACGTGTACATATTTTTTGAAGGTGGTTTCCCCCTCGATTTATACCTATATCTTTTACATTTTTAATTTTTTTTCTAAATTTGTTTCCATTTTTTACTATTACCAAGTTGAAAAAATTCGAAAAAGATATTTTTTAGCTGTTTTTAGCCATAGCACATATTATTATTATGTTTTACCATTGAGTAAAGAATGGTTTTACACTTGGGATTAATTTGACATTAAATATTATTCTTAGCTTCATATTTTTTATGTATTATTAATTTTTTAAGTTTTATGCGTATCTCGAAATCTAGTGAACTAAACCAGGAATCACCACAAAATTTTACTTTAGAAAAAGTGGTTCTGGTTAAACGTGAAACAACTTTGTCGAATTTTGTAAACAAGTGTAATTTGCCACCAGAATATAAATTTGTTAACTGATGCTTATAAATAGGTAGGTGACATTTAACTTTAACTTTCTAATTTTAAAAGTGTGAATTATATACTTAGATTACTACTCTACCTTATTTATTGCAATAAAAGATTAATTTTTATTAAAAAAGAATACAAAATTAAGTACCTACTTCTATGCAATACAAATTGAAGTGTTTGAATTTGCATTTACCACGTCGACCTGTTATAAATTCTCACGATATACAGTGGTGTTTGTTAACATTTTCTCATAGCTTAGAAATTTTGTATTGTCTTTGGATACTTGTTTTAAGTGAACTTATTAATTACAAACACTTATAGGTATATGCTAGAATAATAAAGAAAAATACTGACCAAGCTTTCAGCATCGTTCATTTTTTCTCGTCATTTTGATTGGTACAGTTCTTCAATTATTTTTCCATAAATCTTCAGTTTAACACTTTTTTAAGTGTAAACATTTTCCAGCACTTTTTTATAATTTCACCAACAAATTCACAAAACTTCCTTATTTATTTGACACACAACAAAATATGTCATGATTGACAACTGCCAAAAATTTAAACCTTTACAATAATACCGCCACTTTTAAACTTGATAACAAAGTTAAATATTTATTTACCAGTGGATAAAACTTAATTTCGTGATAAACAAATATAAGATAAGATTTTTGTGATGTTATTTTCTCCGGCAGACACGGTAAGCAGCTTTCACCTTCTAAACGTCATATTGTTTTTGCACTGCTGCCAACATTTTATTTTTAAACCAACATAACCCTATGCCCACAAGTATGTGACAGAGCCTGTCAGACAGACGTCATTCAATTAATTTGGTTATTTTACAATGTTTATTTGCAATAATTGTCGACATTCGCTTTTAATGTTTAGTGGGACGTTGTTAAGTGAGCAGCAACAGTTTTAATTTAGAACAATATTTTTGTTGACGTACTAAAAAAAAATTCAATTGTGGCAACCTGTTGAATAAAATTTATAATATTTAATATTTATGGATCGCCAAAGTAAGTTTTAATCGTTTTAGTTTAAATGGATTTTATACACCACAAGGTTTAATGTGTTTGTAACTTTATATATGTGGGCAATTTCGGTTTAATCAAATTAGAGCATTTAACATAAATGTTTATATTGAACTTTATTAGGTAGGTATTGATGTATATCATCCACATTTTAACATCTTACCAGATCAGTCTTAATAATTTCTCAGTGTATAAAATTCCACCTAGTTCCAGGTTAAACATGAAGTGGATTTTGGACTTGTGTTTTTTTAAGCTTTTGTAGCCACAGGTTTGGAATCATTTGAATTTATACTCTCAACCCTTTAATGGCCAAAAGTGCTTAAACCCAACGTTTGATAAATAAATTTATTCCAAAAAAATCACTTTTTCAACATTAAAAAAAATTAAATTTAAAGTTTTTAGGCTATAAATAAAGTGGGAAACAGGTACATGATTGTCAATATTTTGTTTACTCATATTTTCAAATGACCCTACAAAACAAATTGAAATATAATGGATGTGTTATTGCACCTTTGGCGTTAAGCAAGCTACATTTTTCTTTTCATATACTTTTACTTCATAGCATGATTGGTCTTTATTTCATGCAGATCTGTAACATTTTTCTGTAACTTGGTGTATAAAATCCATAACATTTTCCACCCAATTTTGTACTAATCTGTTGTAAATAATCTTTAGCAACAGTCCAACAATGGATTAATACTTTGCCATCTAATAACTCTACAGTTCCGACAAATCCATTATACAGAACACAAAGCTCACAAAAAGCCAGAAAGTTGTTATCAAGGGATCTGTCGCTACAATCAGACGATGCCAGCAGTTATTGTTCCAGTGTGGAGTCTGTATTGGAACAAAGAAGGCCCGACCCTGAAGCCGTGCTATTAGGTTTAGGGTTTGGGCCCCAGAAAAATTCCACCATTCTATCTAGGATACCACCCAGATTTTTACAACCCTCAAAGGTTAGAAATTTGTGTTAAGATTGAAATTTTATGCTAGTACTAGCATAAAATTTTAATTTTAACACAAATTTAAATTTAATGTTGACATTCACTCTTTGAAATGAAATTGTCATTAATGAGGACATTGTTGGTCAACTTAACAACAAAAATGTTTTTCATGTATAATAATTATTCTTTTCTTTTTAGCTCTTTTCTCAACAAGAAGTAAATAAATTTCTGGAGCAGTATGAGACTTTACAAATAACAAAAAGGTGAGATTAATCCATAAAATTGAAACCTAAAAACTGCATACTGTAAATATATTTTGGACATTCAAAGTTGTATAAAAATGTATCAATTTAATAAAACCACACCATTTTAAATACCTATGTTAATTATATAGAATAACATAAATCTTGCATCATTGAGTAAAATTTAAATGGCCTTCTGAGTAATTGATAATAATTAATAATTATAAATAAATATAAATATTATAATATAGTTATTGTTTATCCTATCAGTGAATTGCAAATTAAGTATAATAATATATTTTTGGTAAATTTTTATATTAATGTAAGAAATTAATAAATGATAATACACTGCGCGTAAAAAAATCCAACTCTAAAACGCCTTTACCAATATTAATAAAATTTTGGAAAAACTATACTGAAACTTATCTCAGTTTACGTGTTCAAGAGTTTTTCGAGAAAATATCCTTAAGTTGTTTTATTTAATAATAGAAGACGCTCGAAAAATTTTTTTAAGTAAATAAAAAATATGCTGTGAAAGACCGCATTTTTGAAAATGTTGTACAAATCAAACGAACAGTAACGAAAAAACCGCACAAATGACCACTTTTCTGCAAAATAATCAAAAAGGGGTCATTTTTACCAACTTTGAAGCGCTGTATCTTCGTTGCTGTTCGTTAGATTTGTACAAAATTTTCAGGGTATACTAACATTTACTATTACACTGACACACACACAGGATCTTTTTAAATACCTAATGAAGGTAGAATTCTAATTATTTTAATAATATTTTGCGATTCCTAGGATTCTGTTAATCATACACCTGTTGGGAAATTCAATAAATACACAAATTAAAACATAATGTTTTAAATATAACGCTAAAAATAAAATCAATGTAATTTATTCAAGCGCAAATATACGCGTAAATATTATTTTTACCAAGATCCTACAGGTGATGTGTTTAATTAAATATTGATACAAAATGTTATTTAAAATTCAGAGAGAAAGTGTTATTTCAAAAACATGTTCTGTTATTTTATTTTAGGGAGGTACCGCAGCGGTATCATAGTTTAAATGAAAAAAGTGCACCAACTTGATGTAACAAACATTTTCATAAAAAAAACATAATCAAAAACAAATGGTGCTACAGAAAATGCGATTTTGTATTTTGTTGTTTTTAGCTCACCTACTGAATCACCAGCTCGGCCACAATCAAAAACCTAACTACACTTTAGGGATTCTTTAAGCAGCTTTAACACACTGTGATTAAATGTTTTATTCCTGAAAATTGGATTAGTTTTTAAAGGGGAACCCACTTTGACGACCAAGAAATACTAGTTTTTGGAATTTTAATCTGTGCTTATTCAATTTTTAAAATTGTTTAAATTATTTTTAATATCTCATAAAGTAAAATAAAGGGATTATGATATTCATATATGTAGATATTTTTTCATGGGGCCATATCAAATTTCATATCTTTCAATTATAGAAGGATGAGCACTATTAAAAAAATATTCCAATCAATTTTTTTTATAAAATTTATATTTAAGAGTTTATAAACCCTAAAGCATTTATGAGCGCTTACAAGCATCTACAATATATACTTTTAATATTATAATAATAAACATTAAACAATTAAAGAATTAGCAATTTGGGCAGCCACAGTGGTGTATCCCCTTAAATAATTTTATGTAATAATTAGCGACTAATTATATAATAATCAAATAATTAAATTATTTACCCTTGTCCTTGGTAGTATAATACAGGGTTTGTTTTACCACACAAATTAAATTCATTTAAATTGTTTTGGAATAGGTAATACTATTTCTAAATAGGCAGCTACTAAATATGTCACGGCAAACAAATTATTGCTTGCATTTGTGATGTTTGGTTAAAATGCACAATATTTTGTTAATAAACATTCCATATTAAATAAATTGAATTTGTAAATAGTAACTAAAATGTTAATGCCTTGGATCCTATATGTGTGGTATAGGATCTAAGGTTAAGGCCTTTTAGGCATTTTAAACCAAAATGTTTGGATTTCTAATTATATTCATATACAAATATTTATAAAACATAGTTTATATATAATCTAGAAAACCTTCAAATAGGTATATTTAAATTAAAGAACACCTGAAATGTTCTCAAAATTATTTTATTATATTTTAGGGTCGTGCACATATTTGTCGTGCTTTTTTGCAATATTGGCGTCTATACGTATAGACGCCAATATTGTACATCATACAAAAAATATTTCTAATATGTGCAGGACCCCTTAGGCAATCATAAAACCGGCAACATTGATCATTGAGTTTAATTAAATGTTATTTTTTGTCAACTAAGATGGTCAATATTGTTGTTTTTTCGAAAAATATAAGACTCATATTTAATTGATACCACTCTGCGACAAAATTTTTGAACCAGTAAGGTTTATGACGTGCTGAATCCGAATTCGACCTTAGAATTGCTCCATTGCTTTGAATAAAAAGGTTTTTTATTCAAAGCTCCATTGCATCAGTGAAAAAACCCAGTTTTATAGTCCTTATTGAAAATCCCTTTTCCTCTTTAATAAATCAGAAAGTTCAAATTTATGAGTTTCGTTTAGGATTTCTACAAAGAAAAGATATTGAAAAAATGTAGAATTATAAATTTTTGATGGTTAACAATTCAGTGAAAAAAACAATATTTTGTAATGTAACAAAACGTGTTTTTTCTACTTGAGTTATAGGTCGGATTCGATACAGCGCATCAAAAACCTTCGGAAAAGTATTCTGGCATAGAAATTTGGTTTATGTCGCACGTGTAATCAAAAAATCTATCCTGACTGCAAAATTAAATTATAAATAAATTTCCATCCAGTCTAACATATACAATTATAAGTATTCCTTTTTTTAATATTATATTTATCTTGTATCTGGACCAATAATTTATAATAAATAATTAAATATTTAATATAGTTTTCATAAACCCAATAAAACACCATTTAATTAAAGAAATATATATTTATATAAGAAACGTTTCTACAGTATCAGATAACTACAAACAATTACAAATTTATTAAACGAGTTAAAAACAAAACCAAAAGTTCAAATCATAACAAATTAAAACTATCGAGTAACTTTAAAACAAATATTAAAAAGTATAGCACTAATAAAAACGTTTAGTTTAATGGTTATTGTATAAAAATCATCTAGTTCTAGGTGTTCATTAAAACAAACTTGTATTCAACATAAAAAAATGAATTTCAATCTTCTTTCCTAAACTTCTGTAGCTGCAGGTTTGGAATCATTTATATTTTCACTTGAATTATTACTTTTAATACCGTCTTTTACACTGTCATCTTTATCACCAACATCACCTGTAGGTTTTCCAATAGCATCAACTATGTCATTTACTACATTATACATCTCTTTAATGTTGTCTTCTTCACATGTAGAATCTTCACCAATTGCATCAACTATTTCATCAATAACATTTACTACATTAGACATCTCTTCTTCACATGTAGAATCTTTGCCAATAGCATCAACTATTTCATCAATAACATTTACTACATTAGACATCTCTTCTTCACATGTAGAATCTTTGCCAATAGCATCAACTATTTCATCAATAACATGTGACATTTCTGTAATATTGTTTTTAGAACTACACTCTTCAATAGAATTAACCAATTCATCGACCACACTGTACATTTCTGCAACATTATCTTCAGATCTTTCATTAATATCTTTTTCATCACATACTTTTTCTTGTTTACTTGGGTCTTCATTAGCTGCAATATTATCTGTCACATCTGTAACTTTATCAATAATTTCTGCAACAATGCTTTGTGCCTCAATTTCTACCTTTTTAATCTCAAGATTTCTAATTTCCTCCTCCAAGGAAATGTTTTCAGCTGTCTGTTCATCTGAGTTTTTCAAAGAAATGTTTTCAGCTGTCTGTTCATCTGAGTTTTTCAAAGAAATGTTTTCAGCTGTCTGTTCATCTGAGTTTTTCAAAGAAATATTTTCAGAATCAATATCTTCAACAACCGTTTCATTCGGAACTGATTCTATTTTCTTGTCACTTTTTGGCTTCAATCTTAAAATATTTGTTCCATTTAAATACAATCTTACTGTATTTTCTGGGAGAAACAGGATTTGTAGCGGCTCACCTGAAATGAAACATGCACTATTACCAACTTAACATTTAAAATTCTCCTGCAAAAACTATAAACACAAAGGTGAGTAAAAAATTTGAATATTAATTTTTTCTCTTTAAACATTTTCGCATGTGTTTAAAGTTTTTTGTGGATAATTAAATAATAGATAAAAACAGGTTTTTAAGAACATGTATTTATAAAATGTAAATAACAGGAATTATAAATGTTTTAAACAAATTTAACAATAAGAAATTAATTTTTAATCAGTCTTGAAAAATAATGTTTTAAAGACTTTAACTAGCACAAGAAAAACGATTTTTTTCATAAAAAATAACATATAAACATTCTTTGAACAAGTAAAATCAATCATGTTTTTTAATAAACATACAAAATTGCATACATTTCTTTAAATAAAAATTGTAACTTAAAAAATTGCTGCTTTAAAAAGAAAATAAATGTTCATCTACCAAAATATACTAAATGTTTTGCTGCAGGGTACACATTAACTTTTTTAGGATAATTGGGTGCGCTGATTTAATTTTTCTTAACCAGCTGATATTGTGAAAAAATCGTTTTATTCTTAGATGTGTAAACATTCAAATTCGTTTAAATACGAATTTAAATGTTTATAAATATATTTTTTTAATCAAATACTTCAACTGAGGATCATTAATTATGAAGCTATGGGTTCTAATTGAACTGAAAGAAATTATAATCCCTCTAAAAATCATCTTTTTATCTAAATACAAATAGCTAAAATTAGAAGATTCAAAATGCTGTTACGCAAAAAATTGTTTTCCGATTTTAAATAACAAAATTTGTAGCTTCATCTATGCACTTAATTACGTTAAATAAAATTTTAACGGAATTAAATAACGGCTCAATCAATAAATTCTGTGAAAGGAATAAAATGTGTTTTTATACGAGTTTAAATTTAAAAAAATGACACCACTTAACAACCTGACCCCTTTTTAATCAGTTAATGCTTTTTTTACATTTTCAAAATTTTTTCAAATTTTTTTAACCAACCAAAAAAGTTTCAAAAAAATGGCTCTTTATTTTTTAAATATCTATAACTTTTTTAAAAATTATGACGATTTTTTATTAAATTTTTTAATATAAATGAAATTTTCAGAAAAACAAAAAAATTATTCAGACTGATATTCAATTTCTCGTTAATTGTCGTTTTAATTTTTATTTCTGTAAATTCTCTTAAATTTTTGGAGTGGCGTTTTTTTGTTTTTTATTTTTATCATCGAAAAAATTTCAGTTTTTCAAAGAAAAAAATAGAAGATAGTTTTGAATAATTTTTTTAAATATTTTTTTGAAAACTACACTGCACATCAAAATTAACGCATAAGTAAAAAAATTTTTACTCTAAAACGCCTTTAGCAATCTTTATGAAATTTTGTATAAAAATACTTCAACTTATATCTCAGTTTACGTGTTCAAGTGTTTTTTGAGAATATATTTTTAAATCCCTTTTATTTAATAATAAAAAAACATTCGAAAAATAATGTAAATATTGTAATAATAGGGAATTTTTTTAAATAAATAAAAAATATGCTGTTAAAGACCGTATTTTTGTTAGTATACCCTGAAAATTTTGTACAAATCAAACGAACAGTAACTAAGATACATCGCTTCAAAGTCGGTAAAAATGACCCCTTTTTGATTATTTTGCTGAAAAGTTTTTGTCAACTTTGAAGCGCTGTATTTTCGTTTGATTTGTACAAAATTTTCAGGGTATACTAACAAAAATACGGTCTTTCACAGCATATTTTTAATTTCCCTATAAAAGTTTTTTTTCGAGCGTTTCTTATTATTAAATAAAAGGGCTTTAAGGATATTTTCTCGAAAAACCTTTGAACACGTAAACTGAGAATAAGTTAAAGTATTTTTATCCAAAATTTTATAAAAATTGGTAAAGGCGTTTTAGAATTGGATTTTTTTAACTTATGCGTTAATTTTGACGCGCACTGTACATTTAAAGTATATGATTAAAAAAAATACTTTTAAAGGTGATTTAGTTACTGAAGTTCCAATGGACTCAGCTTATTTCTCATACTACCACTCTGGGGATTTTTGAGGATGTAAAATGAAAAGAAAAATAAATGAAATTGAAAGTGGTAATCATCGAAAAAATTTCAGTTTTTCAAAAAAAAATAGAAAATAGTTTTGAATAATTTGTTTAAAATTTTTTTTTAAAACTCCATTTAAAGTATATGATTAAAAAAAACAATTTTAAAGATGATTCAGTTACTGAAGTTCCGCTGGACTCGGCTTATTTCTCATAATACCACTATGAATTTTGAGGATGTAAAATTAAATTAAAAGTGGTAATCATCAAACAAATTTCAGTTTTCAAAAGAAAAAAATAGTTTTGAATTTTTTGTTTAAATATTTTTTTGAAAACTCCATTTAAAGTATCTGATTAAAAAAAATTACTTTTGAAGATGTTTCAGTTACTTTTACCATATAAATAGGATTATCAAATTTTAATGTTTGCAAATCAAACAAAAAACGGTTTTTCCACAAAATCGTAAAAACAAGAGCTGACTTTTGGAATTAGCGCCCCCAAATTATCCTGGAAAAATTGTTGGCAGCAAACATAAAACTTTATTTTGTCGCAGAGTGTTATTGACCATTACCTTTGTCTGCGATACTCTTAAAGTACTCCTCGCACTCATCGCTCCAAGATGCTCCATCGCTTTCCAATCTGAATTTATCCGGCAAAATGTGTCCATTCTTTTCAATGGCAAAGCTATTCGCATTTTCGAAATTTCTAAGGTAACCTTCTTCGGTAACGGGCACCAAAGCGTGCAGAATGTTCGCTCCGTCGGCGAACATCTCCACCAGAGAAGTCTCGCCGGTCGAGATTTTGCGTATGGTGAAGATGGTCTGGCCGTCGGCCGCGATCTCGTTGAACTTGTCGGTGGCCTCCTGCGACCACTCGTCGACGCCTTCGGGCCGCTGCAGGCTGCACTTCTGCGCGAGCGGCGCGGTCACCACCAGCTCCTCGGGTATCTGCCGCAGGTTCTCGGCCAGACTCGAGTTGCCGTAGTCGATGAAGAGCGCCTCGACGCCGGCCACGGTGTTGGAGAGGACGCGCGCGCGGTACCACATGCCGTCGTCGTCGAATAAAGCAGCGCAGAGCGTTCCGGGCGCCGGGTCTTCGAGCTCGGGGAACGCGTGCGCGTTCGACAGCTGCTCGGCGATCCTTTCCAGCTCGTCGGCGCAGTTCTCCAGCTGGATCCAGAACTCGGACGGCGAGTTTATGTGGCTCGCGAAGCACGTCACTTTGGATTCCTCGACGAACTCGTACGAGAGCGCCAAACGTTCTTCGGTCAGCACGTCGGTTATCTTTCCGTCCTCGAATAAATAAATAAATCGTTTATTAGCTAAAGCTATTGCCGAGGCTATTACATACTTTACATAAATACACTGCCCGTCAACTCTAAAACGCCTTTACCAATCTAAAATAACTCTTAGAGAATTTTTTTTAAGTAATTTAAAAATATGGTGTTAAAGACCGTATTTTTGTTACTATACCCTAAAAATTTTGTACAAATCAAACGAACAGTAACAAAGTTACAGCGCTTCAAAGTCGGTAAAAATTACCCCTTTCTGATTATTTTGCTGAAAAATGGTAATTTTTGACGACTTTGAAGCGCTGTATTTTCGTTACTGTTCATTTGATTTGTACATTTTCAGGGTTTACTAACAAAAATACGGTCTTTTACAGGATATTTTTTATTTACTTTAATTTCCCTATAAAAGTTTTTTTCGAGCGTATTTTATTATTAAATTTAAGGATATTTTCACGAAAAAACCCTTGAACACGTAAACTGAGATATAAGTTAAAGTATTTTCATACAAAATTTTATAAAGATTGGAAAGGCGTTTTAGAGTTGGATTTTTTTACTTTAATTAATTTTGACGCGCAGTGTATATCATCCATTAAATATTTAAACGTTTGTATAAACATAAAAAGACAAAGAACTTTTAAATTTACAATAATTAAATGCATTTTTTATTATCACAGGTAAGTTAATAAATAATAAAAGTCTGCTGTAAAAAAATGTTTATACAGTACATAAAAATCATTTCCAGCTCTTGTATTTTAAATGTTAATACAGTCTCTCGCCACCACCACCGAATTGAAAAATTTTTCATCTAAAAATCTTAAAACTAGAAACATCATGCTTCAAATTGCTTTTTTTTACGGCTCCAATACGACCATTTTTAACAAAGATACACCTATCCGAAAAATCGCAAAAAATTTGAATTTTTTTCCTTTAATTTTTCCATTACTGTAGAAGTTTTACATTGTTATGGGTTTCTTATGTGGAAACTAACAAATAATAAGAAATCAGATTTTTTAGTCTTGGTCCAAATTTTCAATAATAAAAAATGTAATATATTCTACATTTTACTTTATTATTACACTGCCCGTCAAAATTAACGCATAATAAGTAAAAAAATTCTAATTCTAAAACGCCTTTACCAATCTTTATGAAATTTTGTATAAGAATACTTAAACTTATATCTCAGTTTACGTGTTCGAGGTTTTTTCAAGAAAATATTTTTAAAGCCCTTTATTTAATAATAAAAAAAACGTTCGAAAACTAACCTTTAGGGAATTTTTTTTAGTAAATAAAAAATATGCTGTTAAATGACCCCTTTTTGATTATTTTGCTGAAAAGTGGTAATTTTTGACAACATTTTCAGGGTATACTTACAAAAATACGGTATTTAACAGCATATTTTTTATTAAAAAAAAAATGCCTATAAAAGTTTTTTTTCGAGGGCTTAAAGGATATTTTTTCGAAAAACCCTTGAACACGTAAACTGAGATATAAGTATTTTCATCCAAAATTTTATAAACATTGGTAAAGGCGTTTTAGAATTGTTTTACTTATTATGCGTTAATTTTGACGCGCAGTGTATATACCTACATTTTACTCAAAATTTCATTTTGAAAAATTACACCAATTTTTAAGATTGATGTTATTTATTGACAGAATATGCTTTATTGTAGAGGATTTGAAGAAAAAAACGAAAAAAAAGCCGTTTTTTACATCTCTAGTATTTATCTTTGAATTTTACCTGATACAGCTAAACCAAGCATGGATTTGTAATCTACGACCAAAAATTAAGTTTACGTGTGATATTTTCACCTTTCTAAAGTGACTTTTAAAACTTAAGTTATTGTATATGCTTACTCCAAGATAAAGCTCGACGTAATTTATCTTCTCGTCCTGATTCAGAAACTCGGCGGTGACGTCGCCCTCGCAAAGTCCGACGAAACGGTCGTGGGCCTCGGTGCTCCACTCCTCTTCTACGGGTTTCAGCTTCAAGCCGCACCTGGTGGCGTACACGGCCGTACTCAGCCAATTCGGCGGCAGCGCCTTGATCTGCGTGGCCTTGTTGTCTATCACGTCGGTGTTCCCGTAATCGACGAACCTCACCGTGGTTATGTCCTCGTCCGCGTCCAAAACCTGCGCCCTGTACCACTGTTGGTCGACGGAGTAAGGAGCTGCGCACATTACGCCGGCCACCGGTGCTTCCAGAACGGGCATTTCCGGCGCCAGCTCCTGCAGCTGCGTCTGCAGCTCTTCGATGTCGTCCAAAGCTTCGGACAGCTGAACGTAAAAGTCACTGGGACTGTCCACGTGACTAACATACACGGAAATACCCAAAGAAGCGTTTATGCATTCGGGTTCAACCGTTACGGCGTCTGCAAGACATTCTTCCTGAATGGGTGGCTGTGGTTCTTCCTGAATGGGTTCTTCTTGGATGTATTCTTCTTGTACGGGTGCTGCCGGAATTTCTTCTGGTTCAAAAACCAACTCATTCGACTTAAGTTCAGGTTCTTGTTCTTGAGCTACAATTTCGCCTTCCCAGCCGTTTTCGCCGTAGAAAATCGTTGCGGTCACATCCTTCTCTGTTAGATTTTCAGTTGGTGCTGATACAGCAACCTAAAATTATCAAGTTTATAAAAATTGACTATTTTTGGATATAAATTTTGTAATTAAACACTGATGTTATATTATGTTATGCTATGATTTCAAAAAGTGATTTGACACAATTCAAAGCAACTCTAAAATCCGAGAAGTGTTTTTTTGATACATATATTTTTTTATACCAAGTTGACCACTTTTGACGCCGACCCCTTTCGATTTGGCTAAATCTTTTTTAGCTTTTTCTAACCCATCAAAAACATTTTTTCTCAATTTTTTCAAATTGTTTGTTTTTAAATGCACTTTTCAGAAAAATATAGAACAAAATTATTCAGACCGATATTTAACGTTTTATTTAAATTTTCGGAAAATGACAAAAATTTAAAGATAATTGTATTTTTTTTTTATTAAAAACTGACATTTGTGGCGTTTTTTCGTTTTCTATTTTTTGTAGTCAGCTCATTTCTCATAATACCACAGGATTTTTGAGAATCTAGAGAGGATAAAAAAAATAAATGAAGTTAAAAGTGGTAATCATCAAAAAAATTTAAATGTTTTTTGAAAAAGTAAAAAAAAAATAAGAGTTCAGAAAAATGTTTTTTATATATTTTTTGAGATAACATTAAAAAGCAAAGAAAATTAAAGCAAAATGTTATTTGGTTTATTATTGGACAAACAACAGGCTTTTAAAGTGTTTAATTTGTTGCTTTTTTTGTTTAATTAATTTAAAAGTATAAATAATTTTATTTATTGTATTTAAAGCTATTGTATATAAAATTATTTATTTATTTATTTAACATCCAGATACACGTGTACAGAAAATATAATTTCTGCCTATTGGAGGTAATAAATTACCTGTACATAGGTCCGGTACATAACTTAAAAACTAGGATCTTAAAACTAAAACTAAACTAAAACTAAAATAATATATAATATTTTCATTATCATTGCGACTACAGTTTATAATTCCAACATTTAATACTATTAAGTTAACAATGAATTATTGGTACAGTTTTTGGTAATCCAGTCTTTTAACATTTGTTTAAACTTAAAAGTAAATTTGTTTTTTGGGTTATTTACTACTTTGATGTTATTAGGTAACATGTTGAAGATTTTTATACCATTGTAGAGACTAGTTTTTTTACCAACTGCAAGTACAATACTTTTAAACCTAGTTGTTTTATTACTATTTTTGTACATAATGTACAAGTTATTAAAATTGATAAATATGGTTTTTAAATAGTAATTTTGATAAATATATAAAAACATTTTTCTAAACTCTTTTTCTTTTCTTACTTTTTCAAAATAGAAATTTTTTTCCCCAACATGTTATTATGAGAAATAAGCTGAGTACATTTTTTTTAATTGAAAAAAAATAGAAAATGAATAAACGTAACTCTGAAAATTTGAGAGAATTTGCAGAAAAGCTTATTTCTCATAATACCATGGGAGTTTTGAAAATCTAAAAGAAAAATACAATAAATAAAATTAAAAGTGGTAATCATCAAAAAAATTTCAATGTTTTTTGAAAGAGTAAAAAAATAAATAAAAAAATTATTTATTTTCTATTTTTTTTTCTTACTTTTAAACATTTAAATTTTTTCTATGATCAACACATTTAATTTAATTTTTTTTAACTTTAAAGTTCTCTCCACATCCTCAAAAATCCCCTGAGTGGTATTATGAGATATAAGCTTTTTTTAATTGGAAAAAAATAGAAAACGAAAAAACGCCACTTTTAGAGAATTTGCAGAAAATCAATATAGAAATTTTCGTTTTTTCCGAAAATTAAAAAAAAAGTCCCGATAAGTTAATTTTTGAAAGAGGTAAAGATATTTGAAAAATAAAGAGCCACTTAATAAAAACAGTTGGGTGAAAAGATTCTGATAGGGTAGAAAAAAAGTTTAAGCCAAATCAAAAGGGGTCGGGTTTCAAATTGGTCAATTTGCGCCACGCCAGGCGGACAAAAATATGTTATACCGCTTTATCTCTAAACTATTAAATCTTAGATAATATCTTACCTCGATAACACAAATCGAAATCTCGTTGAACTGGGCATCCAAATCTCTCAAAGACTTAAACGGTACACTCTCGTTGTTGCCATAGTCAATAAAATTAACGAGAGCTTTTTCATCGTCAAAGCTGACAACCTTTCCTCTATACCAGTTTTCGTCTTCGCTGAGGACAGCGTAGACGAAACCTTCTTCGGGAATAATCGGGGATTCTTGCGTCGACGCATTGTAAGCTTCGTACAACTTTTCGAGCAGATAAGCTACGGTCTCGGCCACCTCTTGAGACTGAATGAAAACGGACGCGACTTCCACGTGGGAAACAAAACCGTAGATTGTAGGAGAGGTGACCATGTAGGGGCAGAGAGATTCCACTGTGTCGAAAGCACCTTCATCAGGGTTAACAATGACAATCTTGTTACCTTCATTATCATAGAAAGTTACTTCAAGCCTATTAAGAAAGAAATGTAAATATGATGCCAAGTAAAACCCTATTTATTTATTTTTTAAATTTTGACCAAAGATTTAAATTAGTAATTTGTGATGGCATCCTAAAGTAACTAATTGTACAACTGTAACAAAGTCCCTTTAATTTTATTTAAAACTGCTTCTTTTAACGTAGGGGTCCTAGTACAGGTTTTCCTTCCGTCAGGGTATTTTTAATTTACAAAAAATTCTACATTTCAATTAATTTTCAGTATGGATAATGCATTTTGTAGCTTTTTAGGAGTAAAAATAGGAAAAAATAAAATATTTTCAATTCAAATTTTTTTACTAAACAGAGACAAAGCTTATACAAGGTGTCCCTAAACTTATTGGCATAAATTTAGGAAACAATTGTAATTATGTGTAAATATGTCTTTTGGTAGGAAGTGACTGTTCGCAAAATGTCACCTTTCCAAGTCTACCATAGTAGAAGTAATATTAAAAAAACTGATATGATAAGTAACACTTTATCACCCTGTATCTTTTAAGCATATGTAATAAGGAAAAATATTTATTTAGATTTTCGTCTTATTTTGACTTGCTTAATCTGCTCCTAAATTTATGCCACTAAGTTTAGGGACACCTTGTATAATAAACATTACTTTTTCATTTTGAAAATTCATCAACAGGATATTTTTCTTAAATTTTGCTTTTGATTTTTTTTATAATAATAACTAATAAAAAATATCAAATTGAAAAAAATATTAAAAATAGTAGGTAGGAATGTTGGCGTGGAGTGACCCATATATACAGGGTGTTTCTGGGTAAGAAAAAATGTATATAATTTTTTGATTGGTCCAAACGGGATTTTTTCAGCCTAACAGGTAAATTTTTTTACCCAATTGGTCTAAATTATTTTAACAGCCTAGGTGATAATCAATTGCAGGCCTCTGCTATGCATCAGCCTTCAAACTTTAAGCTCAGCACAAAAGTGCACTCCATAATAAATAAACCAGCTGGCCCAAAATCATAAATACTAATGGCTACTTACGTATTTCCCAAGACGTTATCCACATAAATAATCATTGGAAGCTCTATGTTAGCCTTGAGGGTGTCCTCGAAGGTCTCGGTGGCAGACTCCAAGTTATGAGCTTTGCAGCTGATTAAAAACCCTGAATACAGAGCTATAATGACGTCGGATAAGTTATTGACGCTTTTAAGGACACATCTGAACTGCTGGTTGAGCAAAATACTCAAATCGACGGCATCGGCAGTTACTGCTTGAGAAAGGCTTACAGCATATCCGTCTTGGATAAGCTGCTGGCCTATGTCAACTTGGTTGTGAGATAGTTCTACCTGGAATCTAAGCAAAACATGCAATTAATTGTGGAAAGTCATAAAACAACTTCAGGTTTGCTATTTATATTTCAACAAAAAATTACAATTACAAATTTTATTTGCAAAGTGGTTTCATGGTTTTTCGAATTATTGCACTTTTTCATATGATTGTATCAATCAACTCTAACATGCTTTTCAAACAACTTTTATATGGTTTTCTCCTCCATAGCGTCGACTGTTGTTTAACATGTATAGATTCAAAATTCAACTCCTCTGAAGATGTTATACACAGGTTTTTAGCATTTTGCACCATCCACATGAGGCTTTTTTGAGTGATCCAACGAGAACAAATCTTTTTGACGGCCGAATGTTTGTGTTATACTTCCTCAGTAAACTATGAACACGATTAAATACTCAAAACCACCTATGTATATACAGTATCTTGAAATGCTGCTTCATTGTCATATAAAAATTCGTAAATTTTGAAAAATTTTAGGAATCTTGAAAATTCTAAAAATCTTGTAAATTTTGAAAATCTTTCGGAAAATCTTAAAAATTATCACCCACTTTATCGTTTTCTACTCGTCAAACCCTTTCAGTTGACTCATTTCAAGGAGGTTGTAAATAAATATGCAAAATTGGGGGAAAAAACTGTTTTTTTCCTTTTTTTCTCAGGCCTTGGAAAAATTGTTTTTTTTTTGTGAAAAATTGATTTTTTCTGAAAATATACGAAGCATTTAACATTATTTTAATTTAAAAAAAATATCCTTAAGGATAATAAATTTAATACAGAAAAAAAGAAATAAAGCTTAACATTGAATTGAATTCACACTTGAAAAAGGACAACTTTGGTGATATGTATATGTATATATTAGAAAATTTAATATTCCCCAACACCAAAACATATTTCTTGTCACAATCTGAATCTGAAGATAGAATAGTATATTCTGTAACAAGTTTGGAATAGTTACGGCATATTTCGCTCGAGTGAAAAGTTTGTCACACGAGCCGAAGGCGAGTTTGACGGTTTCACGAGAGGGGAATATGCAATTCCAAACGTGTTTCAGACTATACTTTTTCTACGTTTCCAAAAAATACCATAGACAAAGAATTTAATTGGAAGAAAGTGAGGTTGGATCGGTCTAAAATTTGTTAGATATTAAAAACAGAGATGTCGCCACGAGTGTACATTCTGTCATCAGATGATAGAATATTTCATTCTGTAACACTTTTCGGAATAAATGTCATTCCATAGATAAAAGCGATATTAGAACGGTCATATTCCATAATAGAAGTAGAAAAAAGTACTTTAAGCATTTTGTGTTTTGTTTTGATGTTGGGGAATATTTTTAATATTTGTTTGAATTGAATTGATTTAAAAAAATAAACGTAAACGTTAAATATAATGCCGGTTGGGACCTTTTTGCAGGGAGTCCATTGTAAATATCCATTTATAAATTAATGAATAATTTATAAACTTAAATTACAAAATTATAATTTTATTAATCAATATGTCAAATGAAACAATAGTTATTTGTTTTTGCGACCCGGTAGAAGATTCTTACTGAATTAAAATAATAGGAATAATTAATATAATCATGTGTTATATGATTATAATCAGAGTCGAAAATTCACATTTTCTTGATATCAGTGTTTTAGTGTACACTACAGATATTTGGAAATTTTCAGAAAAATTAACTTTTTAATTTTTTTCATATTAGACTTTGAATAAAATACAAAAGTAAATTTCCCAATTTTTCTGTAAAATAACGGTTTTTTTCCTCAGGCTCAATTTTTCCGGAAATTTTAAAACCCTAGCCACAACATACATGTCTACACGTCAAAAATTAAGTTCATCAATGCATTGTTGTTAAGATAATCCACATAGAAAGTTATAAAAAATAATCACAAGTAAATATATTTCCATTTTTAGTTGGGTTGTTTTTTTAAGCCACTGTTACATAAATAGTCAAATTTTACGTAGCAGCACTAGTTTTGCCCATTATTGAAATATTAATAGCAACCTTGTATATGTTTGTTGAAGAAAATTATAAAAGTAATGTTTCTTACATTTTGTCGTTTTCCGAGATGAAGCCGCAATCGAACTCCTCCTTGTCGAAGTACCTCTCGTAGTTGTCGGGGTCGGACCAAACGCCATCTACGGGTGATATATCGACAAGTTGGCAGCAGACAGCCTGCGCGGGAAGGTTCATGAATTTCTTCTCGATGGGCCATACTTTGCTGATGACAGACACGTTGCCAAAGTCCACGTACAAGACTTTGTACATACCGCTGTCTAGCACCTCCAAAACATGAGACCTGACAAATTAAATTAGTTCATTATACCAACACGTTGGTGTCGTTAAGTTAACAAAAATATCAGTAGCATACAAATTTATTTTACTTTAAAAATTTATTTTTATTTAGATAAGACACATGTTCTAGGAACTTTTTTCATATTATTTCATTACATATGGAGTGGAACCTGAATGGCAATTTAAAGAAAAGTGAAGATATTAACTTAAGTTTTTGCCATATACAAAAATCTGGACACCTGTTTCAATGTTACTCAACATGCAGAACAATTTTCACGTTTGGACTCTAAACTACCTAATTCTGCACTTAACTTATTTTCATTCTAAAATGCACTTGTACCCCTCATACAGGGTGATTCACATTCGTGGTCTATTAGAAGTTTCTGGGAAAAAAAGATATCGATTTGAAACTTTAAAATCGTTTATAATCCAATATAGTCTATTTTTATAAAATATTTTAAACAATTCCACTTCCGGTTTAACCGGATATTACATCAACTTTGTTATTTCAAATAGAACACCCCATATATTTTTAAATTTTTTAATTCTACATAAAATCCTAAATAAAATTACTCTACCTAAAGTGAATAGTTTTCGAGTTATAAATTGTTTTTGTTTGAGAAATGCGCGTCAATCAAAAATAGCCTATAACTTTTTTGTTATTAGGTTTGCGAATAGGGGGGTGGAATTTTTGAAACCTTAAAACATTGTTTAAAAGATTCATTATCTATTCTTTACCCTGGGTTTTATCAGGTAATTTGTTAAAAATGTTAAAGAATTGTCAAAGAATCTTTTAAACAATGTTTTAAGATTCCAAAAATTTAACTAACCTAATAACAAAAAAGTTATGGGGTATTTTTGATTGATGCGCATTTCTCAAATTTTAAAGAAAAAAACTCGAAAACTATTAATTTTAAGTAACGAACATGTTATAGTAACTTTAATGAGAATTTTATGTAAAATTTAAAAATGTCAAAATAAAATAAATGGGGTGTTATATTTAAAATAACAAAGTTGATGCCACTTCCTGTTAAACCGAAAGTTGCATTTTGTTCAAAATATTTTAGAAAAATAGACTTGAATGGATTATAAACGTTTATAAATTTCTAATGGACCATGAATATGAAACACCCTGTATATAAATTGAATTTATTACAATTTGAGTAAAAAAAACTCAAAAAGAACAAAGAAATATTTTTAATTCTTGAATTGTATTTTGTAAATTATATTAAAATAGGTGAATTAAATCAAAAAGTCTGAATTAATTAAAAAATTTGTACTTTTTTACTTTTTAGAAGTCATGATTTTTGGCCAAACATTTTAGTTACACCCTGTATAAAATGACTGAACTAAATTAAAAGTTTAAACTGTACCTGTAGAGAACGTTGTCTTCAGGGAATAAACCAATGATGGGAGCTCCACATTGAACCGATTCAGGTTTACGATCTTTGTATGCGATTTGGATGTCTTCCATCAATTTTTTAAACGAATCCTTAAACAACATATAATTATTTAACTTTATACCAATCCAGTGGTGGTATGATTCTACTTGAAATGATAAATAATTATCAAAAAATAGAAAAACTTGCTTAGTATTCGCTATGGGCAAAGGAGCGCTCTTTTAGGGTTTTTTTAACGCCTTAACTCTGAAGTATGCATTATTTAACAATTTTTAGAATAAATTTCATCAAAAAGTTTGCGCAATACGAGAATTTGGTCGTGATTTTACTATTGCGCATGTCCATGACATCCATTTGACAATCCAAATGCTCGGTAGGAACAATCTAATCAAGTAATTTAAAAATGTATAAATTTAGATATAAAACTGGACATAAAGTGCAAGTGCAAGGTCCAAGTGCAAGGTTTTTTTAATAGAAAAGCTGTAAATGATGTTGGGCGAATTTTTCTTGCTGGTTCATTAAAAATTGTTCACACTTAATCAGAAAAAGTTGCACTAAATTGCAACTATTTTTTTCACACATTTAGTTCTATTTTTATAAGAAAAATACTTAGACAAGGGATGAGAGTGGACGCGCACCAAATAATTGAGAGGTTTTACCAAGTTTGTTTTGTGTATACTAAATTACTAAAAAAACAAATAAGATGCCAATATAGCCATATGAAATACACTTACATTTTGGAATAAATATGGCGCTAAAATAACACTAAAAGCAAATAATTACCTGATTATCTTTTAACTGGCAATAAAAATGCGTCGGATTATGGAACCAGCTGATGGAAACTTTTGTCGTGATACCGACAACGGAAATATTCGTAAACTTGGCATCGACTGGCGCTGGATCGAGGGTGACTGCACTGACGTTCCAAGAATCGTTGCCAAACGAGAGATTCTTCGGTTTGTCGAATTGTCTCGGGAACTTGTCATTGCGCGAACTCGTACGCGGGCCTTTATGGAAACTTTTCTCTGAGCCGCTGGAGCTTACCTCGCTGCCATCTCTATTAATACAAAATTCATGTAATGAATTAAATTCGTATTCAATTCAGAAAGCTTTTTCAGATCGATAATTAAGATTATTTTGTTTTTTTTTTAAATTTACTTTTAAGCTGGGGCAATAAAAAATGGATAAATAAATGTTTAATAAAAAAATAGTATATTTCATGTTTTAGCGTTTTTACAATTATTATTTTTGACTAAATAAAGTAAGATGCGTTTTTTTCTACTGTCTGTCCACTCTAAGTTGGCGGATCTAAGGAATTTTGTAGTTTAGATATTAAAGAATTGTCGTACTGTGTGCTTTTAAAACAGATTTTATATTATAAATAATACTAGTATATAATATATACTAGTATTATTATTAATATAAAATCTGTTTTAAAAGCACACAGTACGACAATTCTTTAATATCTAAACAACAAAATTCCTTAGTTCCGCCAACTTAGAGTGGACAGACAGTATATATTGCAATTAAAACATAATACATTTATATATTTTCTAGTATATTATAGACCAGGCGGAGAAAGCTCATATTATAGCCGTACATGTCACTGCCGAGGCGCTAGCCTACTAGATATGTGTGAGCCAATTAATAAGCTTTCGCCGCCCCTGTTTTATATACTTTTTTCAGGCGTTTAATTGATATTTTTTTAAAATTTATAGTTAAAGTTCAAATGACATTGAATTGAATGGCATTTAATCAACTTCAACTCTGCCATACAACAATAATGAAATTTAAATTTTTATTATTGTAAGGCGGTGTTTAATAATTTGACTTTTGAACTGCCTACAAATATATTGAATATTTTTTTCTCGTCTCTGGTGAAAATATGTTAGTTTATCATGTTGTAAGAACCCTGTCAAAAGATCAGCTCGATTAAAAATTTTTTAGGGGTCGCTCAAGGTTTTTAAAAATTTACAAAATCGTCAAAAATTGAATTTTTGTTATATTTTAATTATTTTTCTCGTCCCGATGTTATTTTCTAGATTGAAAATAATAAAAATTCTGAAAATTTCAAATCGATATTTTGATTTCTAAAGGTCGCTAAAAGTTCGTTGACATTTATATTCAGAGGTCGCTCAAAAACATTCAAAATACTCTACTTTGAAAGTTTAAAAAATCCTGAGCGACCTTTAGAAATCAAAATATCGATTTGAAATTTTCAGAATCTTTATTTTCAAATTTAAAAATAATACCGGAACGAGAAAAAAAAAACAAAAATCAATTTTTGACGATTTTGGAAATTTTTAAAAATCTTGAGCGACCCCTAAAAATTTTTTAATTGAGCTGATCTTTTGATAAACCAACATATTTTCACAAGAGACGAGAAAAAAAATATATTCTTTTTTTTTGGGCCACCCTAATATATGTACAGTTACGGAAAGAAGTAATGTCCATTTGAATGCTCCATTGTAATTGTTCGGAGGCATTCGGGTTTTGGTAATAAAATTAACATATCTATTTTTAAACTCAATAATTCTACCTACCTGCTATTTACCATTCTTTCTAGGCACATTTCATTTGACTTTTAAGCTTTTATGCAATAATTAAATATTTAAGGAATAACATTGATTCTGAAATAGTTTAAATATAATATAATATATTATGTTCTATAACTTAATTAAATAAACTATATATTATTTAATAAGTTGTTATTAATAAAATAATATATTTAAATGAAATATAGACATTTAATACTAAAATAATTATAAACTTTTGCATAATTTTGCAAATAAAATTGTTAATAACCCTCTTTAATGTATTTACCTTTTTATGTGATTTTTTGTTATCTGGGCAATATAAATTAAAATATTTATTCTTACTATGTAAATTAAACACATTAAAATTTTAAAATAAAATGCATTTTGTGCACTATTAATACGTTTTTCTACTTCTATTGCATATTATTGATATTTTTTGTTTTTTTTTGCGTAAATAATGGTAACCAATATAACCGCCCGGTCTATCAAAGTGAAATATATTTACTTTGTAGGTATCAGTGATTGGCTTATTTTAATATTCACTGATATTTGAAACAATCGGGTTTTAAATTAGAAAAAAGTAAGGTTGACAGATGTCAGATTTATTTATATATACGAGGGGCGACTATAATGATCTTTAAAATAGAAGAAAAGTGAGGTTATAATAAATAAATTTTGTTATCAATGAAAATTTCTTAATTGGAGTAGAACAAACATAGTATTACACTCGAAATAATGCGCATTATTTACTCGGATGAATTACGTCTCTCGCCTGACGGCTCGACATGCAAACCTTATCCTTTTGAATAATAGCCTGCATTATCTCTCGTATAATAATATACTATTATCAACATTTTAGTTTTCATTTCTTGTTTTATGAAATATCTGCCCAATACCAACTTATTTCAATGTATAAAAATCCAATAAAATATGGAAACGGCAAAAATTTATAATTATTATAATAATTGAACTTGGTATTCCCAAAGGGTCTAAGTGTCAAAAATAAAATTGTGTGAAATCAATGAAAATCCATTCATCTTTAAAATACAAAAATAATATGGAAAATATTTTTTTAGTCGTTTTGCATGGCACATAGACTATTTTTAAATGATAATATAATATATGACCAAATTGGGTCCAAACCCTTTGGGAATGCCATGCTTCAATTATAATTATTAATGTAATTATTTACCATTTCTTTTTAAATAAAAAGGCAGCTTTTTTTGCTTATGGTTTTAGATAATATATTCCTAAAAAAGGGTCCTACTAAATTTTACCATAAATTTTGTTTTGCTGAAAAAGTTTGAAAATCTTGAAAATTTCTATAAATTCAACTTTTACCTTGAATACCTTTTAAAAGAGCCCTACCAAAATTTGTTTTAGTTTTACTAATCCGTTTACGAATTATACAATTTAAAGTATTTTAAAAAATCTCATATTATTTTAATGGGAAATAAAAATTCCCGATGAGGGACCTGTAAATGTAATATTAAGAGCTTGCATTTTAACAGGACCATTTTTTGGTATTTATACTTATAAGTCTAATAATTATATAATATTTTTTATCAAATATTTAATAATTTGTCCTACGTTTAAAATATTAATATGAAATTAAATTAAAATACTTTTTAACATTTTAGTCCGGAAGAACTTCGGCTATAAAATTTATTACCTACTTTTATGATATAATTTATATATTTTCTGTTTATACATCTATAGGTATTGTAATCTTTTCTTATTAAGCCGGATGAGGATTAGCCCTTTCGGCAAGTATTAACTTATACCTCTAATTATGCCTAAATACGCGACGTGTGCGCCGATGATAATTTTAACGGCGCCGGAGTATATTATTATAACTTTAAAGAATAAATATTTTATAATTTTTTACACATTAACCTACATATAATAAAAGAGCAATAAATAAATATGAAGAAATATATAATATATATTTTATAGTTTTATAATATTTATATATTTATATAATATATATTTTATAATTTTATAGCTATTTATGTTTATATGTTTTATAGTTTTTATATGTAAGTTATAGTTTTATAGGTATGTTAACTTTTATATTATAATTATATTAAACATTTTTTGATAAATCCTACTATATTTAATTTAAAAATATACCAAATATAAAAATTTTAATTATTATTGACTGCTTTTTCACTTGTACCGTGGTTAACTATGGAATACCATGGTATCCCAAAATTTAACAGCCAATTCTTATGTAAAATTGTCCCCTGAATCCGAAAGTACATCAATAATTATGAAAGTGAAGCAGTTTATGAGATATAGTCAATTCCATATTAAATGGAAAATTGACTATATCTCAAAAACTGTCCTACTTTTTTAACTTTTGACGGTATTTTCGGATTCAGGGGATAATTTTACATAAGAATTGGCTATTTAGTTTTGGGATACCATGGTATTCCATGGTTAACCATGGTACAAGTGAAAAAGCAGCCACTATTAACTATTAAATTAGTAATTTTTGACTAATTCATTTTTAAAGAGTATGTTTTTAATTTTAACACATAAAAGTGCAACAAATAATAAAATTTGTTTTTACTCCTAAAATAGTGTATTGAATCATTGCTAGTTCTGAAAAATGTAAAGTAAGTTTTAAAAAACTACAACTTGATAATATAATTTATAGCCTAAAAAGTTCTTATTAAAAGTTTTTTCCTAGAATAAATGTTTATAAAACTATACAAAAATATATCAAAAAATTAACGATTTAATAAAAATACAGTTAAATATGTAACATAGGTACCCAAAATAATTAATTCAATACGAGCAGGTAGTAAATTCTAAATATAAACATATTTTTAAATAAATCCCTAAGAGGCAGATGTTGACCATTTCCGAATGCCTCCGAACAATTACAATGGAGCATTCAAATGGACATTACTTCTTTCCGTAACTGTACATACATACATATATCATATCGTCGGTCTTATGACATAAGGCCCTATCTCGAGATAGGGCCAAAATGTGCTAAGGTCAGCGTTAGTTTCTATCTAGTGTATACTTTGTTTTGGCCAAAGGTCACATCTTAAAATTCATTTATTTTTTTATAAAACTTACAAAACACATGGCCCTATCTTGAATTTTGACACGTACTATTATAGCATAAAGGCCAATCTTAAGATAGGGCTTTTTGTTGTGATAATTTTGCCACTTGCGTGCGAGGGAATCTTGACTTAGGGTCTACCGCTATTGAAACGAAAAAGAAACTTAAACATCAGCGTGCGATGTTCCTTTTTCTTGCTTTATTTGTAAAGGTTAGAATAAGACCAAAAATCAAATAGTTTCAACTTATTATATACGTGTAGCGTGTTGTGATCGGACGCAAGCACATTGCGGAAAGACTGGTAAATTTGTTTGTAAATATTATTTTTTGTTGTATTTCTTATAGTTTTAGAGTGTTGTTTAAACCTTTAATATTGTAATTCGCGCATTTTAGTTTCGCTATTACTGTGTATAGTTTTTGTGTCTGAAAAATGGATGTGCTTGTGAAATGGGATGATGGAACTGTCAATTGCGTAAACACTAGATGCCTGAAAACCATTAAAAAACGTGATAAATATAAAATTGGAGCAAGAGTGAAGATGTTTTTTGATGAAAAATGGTATTTTGGTAGTATAACAATGGTAGAAAATACAGCAAATGTTTTAACGACTGAAGACCAATCAGATTCTTCGGATAATGAACCTCTGTCTAAGAAAATTGTTCTTCAACCTAATTACAAACAAGTTAGTTCTTCCAGTAGCATAAGCGTGCATCAAAACAATAACATTTTAATAGGTCCATTTAATGGAGAACCTATTTTAACAGAACTTCTTCCCTTGATACCTGATAACTTTGAGGTTGAAAATAATTGTGAAATTAATCTATCAAAGGTTATAAGCAAAATACCCGACGAAAATAATTTACCTACCACTTCTCATCATGAGAATAAGGAAAAAGATAAGCAAAAGTCAGAAGATACGAACATGTCAGATTCCTATGATGTACGTGAACCTTATAGCGATATTGACCTAAACGGCAGAGAAGATCCAACTTACCACATACAAAGTTGTGAAGTTCCTCGATGCAAGCAAGAAGTATTCAGTTCATGTCACCTGTGCGAAATATTGTTATGTTGGGATCATTTTCAAGAAGAATTGCCAAATTGCGTTAGTCATCTTCATCTAGACTCTGATAAAGATGTCATTCGAAAACGACCAATACAAAAAACCCCTGTTAACAAAATAATAAAAATCCCAGAAGACTTTTTCGTAGAAGGTTCACCAAAAGAATATCAAGAAGTGAAGCAGCCTAGAAAAAATAAAAGAAAGATTGCCAAAGTTTTAAAAAATAGTGGAAAAGAGTATGTTTCCGTGAAAACTAAGAAGACTATCCCAGAACGTAAATTAGGACCGGCTTGTAATGCAGAATGGTGTAAAAAAGGCGGAAGAGAATGCAGAAAGTTTAGCGAGGAAATACGGCAGGCTATATTTTCGGATTTTTATAATTTAGCTGATTTGCAATTACAACGAGAATTTATTGTTCGATTCGTAGAACAAACACCAAAAAAGTCGAATACAAAACCAGATGACAACTCTCGACGAACATACACGAAAACTTTTTTCCTTCCATGTAATGGTGAACGAAGTAAGGTTTGCCGTAAGATGTTTATTAATACTCTCGATATAGGTGAAAAACGATTGCGGAATACTGTAAAAAAAAATCAAAGCACTGGCGTTGTTGAAAAAGATAAACGCGGTGGTCGCGATAAGATATCCGCTCTTAAAGATAAGGCTCTTAGAGACACTATAACCAGTCACATTAATAAATTCCCACGTGTTGAGTCTCACTATTGTCGCAAAGATAGTTCCAGAGAATATTTACATGGGGATTTAACTTTAAGAAAGATGTACGGGATGTTTTTAAATGAGTTGCCGGTCACCGAAAGCAAACCAAGTTTTTCATTATACAGGGTAATCTTCAAAAAAATGAATTTGTCATTCCATAAGCCTAAAAAAGACCAGTGTGGTGTTTGCAGAGTTTTTCACGAAGGAAGTGAAGAAGAAAAAACAAAAATAAAAGACATTTACGATAAACACATAGTGGAGAAAGAAGCTGTCCGTAAACTAAAAGACAATTTTAAAAGTGCTGCTAAAAATGATCCAAAAATGTTTTGTGCTTGTTTCGATTTGCAACAGGTGATATCTTTGCCTATTTCTAATGACAATGCCATTTTTTATAAACGTAGGTTGTCTGTTTTTAACTTTACGATTTATGACTTAGCCAACCGTGACTGTTATTGTCTGACTTGGGATGAATGTTCTAGTGGCCGCGGATCTTCTGAAATTGCCACCGCGGTTATAATGATCTTAAAAAAATACGATGAAGAAAAATATGTTTCTTCTGCCCAATTGTTTTCAGATGGCTGTGGCGGGCAAAATAAAAATTCGATTATGGCAACTGCTCTTTTATATACGGTTTTGCAATCAAAACACCTGGCGGAAATAAGTCTTAGATTTTTTTCGCCTAACCATGGGCAGAGTGAAGGAGACTCTGCCCATAGTGCAATTACACATGCTATTAAAAAAGCTGGAGATTTGTTCACTCCAAGTCAATTAGTACCAGTAATTCGGTTGGCAAGGCAAAACAACCCTTATAAGGTTTACCAATTAAATTATGATGACTTTTTGGATTATAAAAAGTTAAGCGAAGATCTAAGAATCAAATCTATAAAAAAAGATGATGCCGGAAATGAATTTAAATGGTCAGATATATTTGAATTTTTTGTAAAAAAGGAAAACCCTGATAAAATATTTTTTAAAACTAGCCACGTAGACAAGCAATACCGTTCAATGTCTTTAAAAAGAGAAAACAAGTTACCTTTTTTGACAATCAAAAAATTAAATAAAAAACAAAGGTCCATATCAATGTTAAAGTATGAAAATCTAATATCCCTTTGTTCTGGTCTTAAACCTGTTATTTCTTCGCCTGAAAATAAATTATTTTACCGCTCATTACCACATGCTCAAAATTAAAGTTTTTTATTACATATTTAAATTTACTGTTATTTAAATTTTGTTGAGACAAATTTAAGTTTTTTAGGTTTTATTTTATGTATTATGTTATAAATGAATGCTATGTTTTTGATTGAAAATAATGTTTTACGTTATATTTTAAGGTAAGGATGTGTTTTAAATTAATTCCAGTGTTAGTTTTGGTTTCCTTTGTATTTGGTTTTGATTTTAAATGAATTCCAGTTAATTCAATTTAATTTTTCTCGTATCAGTTATTTCTTTACTGTCCGGAGTTTTATTTATTTTATTAAATTAGATATTTTGTGATTTGCTTTTTATTTAAAAAAAAACATAAGTATAAACGGCCTTTTCATCTCTACTTTAAAAGGCCTATCTCGACAAAAATACACCAATAAAAATGTTTAGTGTTATTACAAAAGGCCCTATCTCACAAAAACCATTATTACAACAATATGTTAATTATTATGTTGAAATTTGGTATCTGACAAAAAACTCACATGATTTGTTTTTCATAATTCCAAAAAATAGGATTGAAAATCGTTAAAGTTCTTTATGTTCTGTTGACTTAAAGATATCGGTTTTCTTTAAATTGCTCTCCTGAAAAGTTGTAAAAATCGAGATAGGGCCTTATGTCATAAGACCGACGATATAATATATTATGTATAGTATACATTGTATACCTATATATAATATATGATATGTAACTGTCCTTTATTACTCAATATTTTGAATAAGGCATTTTGGCTTAACAGGGCAGTTGCGCTTATATTTATTTTATTTTAAGGCCCTTAATTTTTAAATAATATTTATTTTTAAATATACAAAAAATAAAAACATTGAAGTATATCAACATCAAAATATTAATAATAAATTTTTCCAATATTTTGCCAACAATAACAAATTTTGTTATTGGCAATACAAACAAAAATTTAACAAAATCTAAATAATCCATCATATGTCACAGCCTGAATTAAATGGGAGTATTTTTTAAATATTTTGCTTTATTTGTGGGATAAACCTACTTTTGAAAATCTTTCTTTTTATATCCACCACGATCACCTCTTTGTTCTCGATTGTGGAAATCAGATTTTTGGTTGTTCATATGGCTATGATCATCGTGACTAAAACATTTTATTTAGTAAAAAAAAATCAAATCGGGAGCCTATATGGATAATTTTGACTACCCTGCTAACGCCATCCATGGTCACTGAATTTTGCTTTGCTAGAGCATTCTTACCTAAATTGTCTGTGTTTGCTGCACAATTCTCTGTGTCCGCTATCGCTTTTCGGGATTAATTGCCTGTATTTGCATGTTTCTTTGTATCCGCTATCGTTGCTCGCGTTGGTGTTGTTCGTTTCCCAGGAATCGCCAGCGCCATGCGACGACCCTGTCTTGTTGTTGCACCATTCGGATTGATTTCTGTTGTTATCGCGACGGTCGCCGCCGCGATTGTTGAAACGATCATTTTGACGATTCTCGTTTGACTTGTAGTCCGTGCGATTATCATCATTGTCTCGACTGTAAAAACAGTTTCCTTAGTATTTAGATTAGACTGCGCCAAAAAAATCGACCATTTTTTTTTGTAAAGTACATCGAAAATATTGTTTGGGGTGACAAAAAAAATTATGGTGAAAGTTTGAGTCCATAATATTAATCTATCTATCATCGCAATTTTAGAATTTTTTTTCCTGAGCGAGTTTTTGTCTCAGAACTCCCAAACCATTGAGTTTAACAAAATTGACTTAAGAATATTTTTTGAAGAAAATTGAATGTTCTACAAAAAAGGTTTGATTGGAATTTCCCGTCAGATGAACCGTTTTCTTACAATCATGCCTTTAAAATTGGTATATTTTACAATTTGATCTTTTAACTTTGGAATTTTGTAATTCATGTAAAAATCAGTACCCGGAAAAAAACGATAGATATTCTTATGGGAAATCAAATGCTCTACACATTTTTGGCTAAATTCACTCCATCAAAACGAAATTCTTGTTTTTTCCGCTCTAGATTTTTTTTTGGGTTAGTTATAAACTTGAATTCTTTTATCGATTATAATCTTTATGTTATTGATTACTGAAAATTAAAAAAAAAATAACACATTAGTTTTTTCGCTTTAAGAAGCTATTTTCTTTAGTAAATAATATTTTCGCTGTTACCTATTTAATCGTTTAAATAATAACAATCATGTTGTTTTTTATTGGAAATTGTTAATTAGTTATAAAGGGTGTATCAATAAGAGCGCAAGATTTCAAAGTTTAGTAAAACATGGTTTTAAATATTAAAGCATTGAAATATTTATTGATTTATAAAGTACACATTTGAAAATTATGTATAAAATAACACATCTGGTAAATGGCCACCAGGGCTTAACTGGCACAAGCATATTCTTTTGGCAAAATTTGCAATAACATTATTGAATACATGTGGCGGTATTTCGTTGATAGAGCGTCTAATTTCTGCTTTTAAGGCTTCGATGGTGGCGGGCTTGTTGGAATAAACTTGTGACTTCAAATAACCCCACAGCCAAAAGTCCAAGGGTGTTAAATAGTGGTGAAAATGGGCCTCATCACTGAAAATGATTTTGTCCGCAAAATCGGCATTCACTTCTTGCTGCTCAAGGATCCAATTGGTGAACTCTCTTCGCTGTTCATGGTCTTTTGGCTGGAGTTGTTGAGTCAATTGGACTTTGTAGGCATGAAGATGCAAATCTTAAGTAAGAATTCGCCAAAGAGTGGCTTTTGTAATGTCCAATTCTTGTGCCCGATGGCAAATCGACGTCTCTGGACTCTCGCCCACACTCTTGCGAACTGCTGCGACATTTTGTTCTGAACGAGCTCGTGTCGTGTGTTTCACATCACTAACTGAAGCAGTGTTTTCAAAATTTTCGATTATTCTTTTCACAGCAGATGAATTAGGAACATTATTTCGAAAAAATATTGGACGCCCTTTACAAATCGTGGCAATCAAACTTTCATCATTTTGATAATAGTGTTTAACAATCAGGACGGGTTGTTCTATTGTGTAATGCTCTATATTTACTAACTTCCATCTGTCTCCTATCAATCTATCATGTCATTAATCATGTGACATCATGGTTGCCAAACTGAGGCGAAATTCAAATCTTGCGCTCTTATTGATACACCCTTTATAATACACATTTATAAAGAAAAAAATCAAATTATCACCCATAAAAAAAATCTACAGAGGAAAAAACAAGAATTTCGTTTTGACTTCAACTTTAACCTTGAATAACTTTTGATTGAGTGAATTTAGCCAAAAATGTTAGAGGCTTTTTTTGTAAAGTATTTGATTTCCCATAAGAATTTTTATCGGTTTTTTTCTGGCTGATTTTTACATGAATTACAAAATGCCAAAGTTAAAAGATCAAAATGTAAAACTATACCAATTTTTAAGGCATGATTTTAAGGAAACGGTTCATCTGACGTAAATTTCATTTTAATTTCAATTTTGTTAAACTCAATAGTTTGGGAGTTCTGAGATAAAAACTTGCTGAGGAAAAAAAATCTAAAATAAAAAATAGTTGATTTTTTTGGCCCAGTCTAATTTAGATACAGAACGAAAAAGTAGTATTTAAAAAGTTGTAGGAAACAGCTTAAATGATTATTTTTAATTTACCTCATCAGCAAATCATAATTAAGGGTTGAAAAAACATGTATATAAAATAATTATCTACATAATTACATACAATACCCGTTGAAAATACGTAAAGGCGTTACTTGTTTTTTGTTGCAGTTAACAATATCCAATTAAAATAAATAACGTTTTTGTCATACGCTTCCAAAAATAGCTATTAATCATAATTAAGGGTTGAAAAAACATGTATATAAAATAATTATCTACATAATAACATACAATACCCGTTGAAAATACGTAAAGGCGTTACTTGTTTTTTGTTGCAGTTAACAATATCCAATTAAAATAAATAACGTTTTTGTAATACGCTTCCAAAAATAGCTATTTTACAGACTCATTTAAGTCCGTAAAATGCTTCTTTTTCGGCCTAGTCCCTAAAAGTCGTCATGGCAACCTTTACAGAATTTATTCATTTTAAAGTTTCAGTTCCAAGATAGGTATTAATGTTATGTATTTTTGGTTTTCAGATAAATCTACTTACTTGTTAAATCCCTTATTATTTTGCCTCCATGATCCTTGTTCGGGGGACCCTTCGTTCGTAAATTTGTCGTTTTGTCTAAAGAAGGAAATAAATCAATGGTGTAATGCAAAGTTAATTAATTTAGATTAATTTAGACAATATGTTTTAAAAAAATTGTATGATTTTACATAGCAATAATAACAAAGTTGTTCAGGTATTGCCATATTTTCTGTACAACTATTGTTGTTGAACATTTTAATTATTATTAACTTAACACACTTAGTTACCTTCTCCAGTTCCTACTGGTAAAATAGCTTAGCATAACAAATACAAACACGATTTTAAACATTATTAATAAATAAAAAAATATATGTATACCGATTATTCTGCTCATCCTGACGCCAAGGTTTATCACTTTGTCGGTCGTTCCATTGTTTGTTTTCTCTAAAAAAGTACCAACTTTTAAAATACTCTACTACTTTCATATTTATACATATATACTCCTCCAAAGGCAGTTTCTCCTTTAAAATAAGACTTAGTATTAGGGAAGATATACATAATATTAACTTTTTACCAGACAATTTTAAAGCTCAAAGTTATAGGATATTTAAGAAAGAACTTTTAATTTTTTTAATGAACAACCAATAAATTCAACATGTCATATTTAGAAGGAGATAATTCTCTTTATTTTTATTCGTTTTTTTTATATCCGTATTTTATATATGCGTATTTTTTTTTCTTATTTGTTTTATTTCTACACATAATAGAATTTTCATTTATTTATTATTACAGAAATATTTTATAATTTAAGTGATTAACTGGGGAAGTGTTGAAAACCGGGGGATAGAACTATTCTATCTGCCTGAACACACCCCAGAGATTTTTCCATTTTTTGTACAATTTTTTTTTGTTTTTTTTTTCTATGTGGGTCAGAATTTCTCAAACGGGCCACCTGAATTTGGTCAAAATTAGTTTTTGATTGTAGATACATTTTTTCGATAGTATTTTACATCACTAACACAAATCCTAAAGGATTTTGTAAAAAAAAAAATTTTCAATTGACATATTCATGATATTAAAAGTAAAAGTTTTTAGTAATTAAAAAATAAAAAAAAATCATTATGGCTAAACTAATTATCCGATTCCAACGATTTAACTAGCGTTGGAATCTTGTTTTGACATAGATTCTTTGTTATTTTTTTCAATTGTACAATTTTCATTTAGGTCGATTTTTTTTTGTTTTTTTTTATAACAAATTCGGAAATAATTGGCTTCTGCGCCAGCTATCGACTCGAAAAAAAAAACACATATACTCCAATCATTTTTCGAAATTATGCTGCTGAGAAAAAAAATGGCCCGCAGGTTCCAGACCACCGTAAGACGTCGCGTCACAAGCGCGTACAGCGTACACGGTTCGGAGCGTGAGCTGACACCGCGCGCGGCCACAAAAGGACGAATAACTTTTTGTCAACCTGCGGGCCATTTTTTTTCTCAGCAGCATAATTTCGAGAAATGATTGGAGTATATGTGTTTTTTTTCTCGAGTCGATAGCTGGCGCAGAAGGCAATGGGGTAGTTAAATTTTTTCTGACCTATACTTTTTATGGTTTTATTCAAGGCGTTTTGTAATTTTAAACATTTCTGTGAAATCGGAATTTCAATTGAGTTTACCGTTTTCGAGATATTTACAAAACAAAATCTCCTAATTACGTCACTAGGCTATTGACAAAGTTGCCAGCTTTTTCTATGCTTGCCAGTGTGTTTAGTTTAAGATTCTTACGATAGATGGCGCCACGTTATAATATTCTAGTTGAGAAGAAGAAGAAGAATTGATTTTTTGACGTTTCTTTTTTTCGGGTTGTTTTTTTTAAATTTAGATTATTGAAAATCAATGTTACTGTTATGTTATTTGTAATTGATATTAGATAAGTGATTTATTAATAACGGACTCCAAAGCAGAGGAATCTTGTGGAATGGTTGGTTACATTGAACATTGGAGCTTTTAAACAAATAAAGTAAGTACCTATAATTATAATCATATTTTGTCGTAAATGCATTTCATTAGTATAATGCCTAGTTCTTTATATTCTTTTAGATATATTATTATTTTTTGTAAATTTATTTCATTCATTTTCAGCTTTATTTTGCCACTTTTTTCTATGAAATATATTAAACTCTGCTTTAGACAGTTATTAGGTAACTATTTATTACATTTTATTAGGTTTCACACGGTGTTTCAATGTGTAAACCTATCAATAAAACTTTTAATTTCAGAATTTTCTTTAACCTCCTCTTCTTCTTCTTTCACTCAACTGACAGTGACAGTATTTGTACATAACCTCTTCGGGTATTTTCTGACATAACCGAATGAAATCATTAACAAGACAACTTGACAACAGGGTAATTTTCAACCAATAGAAATCTTAGAATGTTGGTCACATGGCGGGGTTTGTGACGTCATAAAAATTTATATTTTTTGTAAATATCTCGAAAACGGTAAACTCAATTGAAATTCTGATTTCACAGAAATGTTTAATATTACAAAACGCCTTGAATAAAACCATAAAAAGTATAGGTCAGAAAAAATTTAACTACCCCATTATTTCCGAATTTGGTATAAAAAAAACAAAAAAAAATCGACCTAAATGAAAATAGGACAATTGAAAAAAATAACAAAGAATCTATGTCAAAACAAGATTCCAACGCTAGTTATATCGTTGGAATCGGATAATTAGTTCAGCCATAATGAATTTTTTTATTTTTTAATTATTAAAAACTTTGACTTTTAATATCATGAATATGTCAATTGAAAATTTTTTTTTACAAAATCCTTTAGGATTTGTGTTAGTGATGTAAAATACTATCAAAAAAATGTATCTACAAACAAAAACTAATTTTGACCTAATTCAGGTGGCCCGTTTGAGAAATTCTGACCCATGTATAAAATAAGCTAAATTAGATGAATTTGTATTGTATTTGAATGGAAAATAAATTTATTAATATTATTATTACTAACCTTCCGGGTTTGCGTTCTTGCCTGAAGTCTCTGTTATTTGGAGGCGTGATATTCTTTCGGTGCTCGATCCTGTTGTTGGCCTGCACTAACATCGGGCTTACTTGCGATTTAGAAGAAGCAATTTTGTCGAGTAGCAACGAAGCCACGTTGTAATTCGCACCATCAATCAGCTCTATCAGCGCTTTATTTCCCAGCATATCGACCACTTTCATGGTGAATTGATTCTCGAGTATCAGTTCTTCCAATAGATTGTCACGTTCTTCGTCGATGCCCATGTTCTGGTAACCGTTTAGGCAGCATTCAATGGCTTGGGGACGTAGGACTGTCAATTGTTCGCCTTGCACCAGTCTCAGCACCGAGTTGGACACAACTTCCTCGTTGCCGTAATCTATGTAGCGCACCTTAACGGCATTTTCTGGCAGAATCTCGACGATTTGGCTTCGGTACCACTTCTGGTCGCCCTCGTATAAAGCGCAACACGGCAGACCGACGGTTAAAGTCGAAGGATCCATGCAATCGCTGGACGCGCAGTTGTTTTGCAAGTCCAACATCATGTTCAGCAGTTCTTCCTCCTTGCTGCACAGCTGCACGTAGAATCGGTTGCAGCTGTAGACGAAGCTGACTTTCACGGGCTGGCTGAAGCCTCTGTTCAAGGACATGGGTTCTGGGTATGCGTTTCGCGCGGCGCTGTACACCACCTCGAGGGCGGTGGTGCCGGTTAGCGGGTCCCATAGTTCGCATTTTGGCACGGCAAGGCGCGTCGCTGCCGGCAGCACTTTCATGTGCAGCAAGCGGTCGTCGACGAATTTTTTAAAAGCGCATTGCATCTCTATTGTGACTGTGGATTTTTCTAAATTTGCCAGGCCAAGTCGTATGGCCATTACTTTAGGTAAAACAAATTTGAATGGTATCTGGAAGAGGGAGGTGGAGGGTATCACCTCGTAGTTGCCGAAATCTACGTAGAATACCTAAAAAAAATTAAATTAGCGACATAAGTCCCGTGTCACACTTTACTGTCCCGAAATTCCCGAATAGTACTAGTTTTGTTCACAAAGTTATAAAATCTTAACCTATTCCTTTAGAACAAACATGTATAGAGATGCGACTTGAAAAAAAACGGTCCGTTTTTTTTGTTTTTTTTTGTTTTTTTTTCATTGTTTTTTTTCAAATGGTTTTTTTTCACATTTACTACTACATTTACTAAAATTAGCCACTAAATGACAATTAGTAAATGTAAATACAGTCTCGCGCTATGCACGCGCCACCACCACCGAATTGACCAATAAGGGCCGCGCTTGTTTTGATTTGGTCCTAAAAAAAGTAACTACATATAATATTTTTGATTCAGCGCTTGATTTTTCAAAAAGCTACCAAAAGCACTTTTTTCATGATTTTTTAAATTCATGTAGAGTATGGAATTTTTTTTTCAAAAAAACAATAGCAAATTCTTGTAGGTCCGTGGACCAGAAAGCCAAAAAAATCGATTTTTTTATTACGGTATTTGTTAGGATTGAGCGTTACACACAGTGTTCCCAACCTTTCAGAGTAATAATTCCCTTGTTGCATGGCAAAAATTCCCTATTTCGTGCCAAAATTCCCTGCTTTCAATGTTGCCAAGAAAAATGACTTCATATCAAAAATACAATTTTTAAAATAAATTTTATTATGTTTGTAACAAAAAAATAAAATAAAATAAAAAGCAAACGCCGAAACAACATCTGAGGCGTATACTGCAAAAGCGGCCTAACTGAAAAAAATCATTTTGTGTTTTTATCTTAAAATATTTCTATAATGCGCTTCTCGAGTGAGCTAGCCTATTATAATAAAGTGTATTTTAATATACAGAGTAGTAACTACTCTTCATATTAAAACACACTTTAGCTCACTCGATAAGCGCATTATAGGAATATGTCGAGATAAAAACAAAAAATGTTTTTTTTCAGTTGGGCCGCTTTTGCAGTATACGCCTCATCTAACAAATAAATTATTAAAATATAAGGGTAAACATGAAATAAAATTGATTAATTATATTTATTAAAACTCGCAGTTGACATATAGTTAGTTCTTCTTCTAGCCACAACATTTGTACTTCTTTTTATTTTGGGTCACTTTATTAAATAAGTGACCGAAAAAAAAGTGTAATCTATAACGTGGGCTTTTTAATAATAAATATGAAAAATTCCCTAATTTTAACAATTTTTACTAAAAAATTCCCTTTTCCCTTTTTGGTACCAAAATTCCCTAAAAAGGGAAAATTCCCTGCAGTTGGGAACACTGGTTACACATCTAAAAATCTCAAAACTAGAAACTTCAAGCTTCAAATTGCTTTTTTTACGGCTCCAATACGACCATTTTTAACAAAGATACAGCTATCCGAAGAATCGCAAAACAATTTTTTTATCCTTTAATTTTTTGTATTGGTGTAGAAGTTTTACATTGCTACTGGTTTCTAATGTGGAAACTACCAAATAAGAAATCAGATTTTTTAGTCCCGGTCAAAATTTTCAATAATGAAAAGTTTAATATATTCTACATTTCACTTTATTATTAATATATATTTTACTCAAAATTTCATTTTGAAAAAAAAACAAAAAATCCGTTTTTTTTTCATATTTTATTTCACATCTGAAAAAAAAAAAACGTTTTTTTACATCTCTAAACATGTATAATAATTTTGCAAATCTAAAGGAAATAGTTGGTTTTTGTCAATATTAACAAGCCTTTTGCGAAAAAATGTTTAACCTGTTGAATAATTTATGGAATAAAAAGCAAAACAAAATGTTCATGGATTTGATAAAATCTAAACTTTAAAATCGTATCAATTTTCTGAGTCTACTCAGAAATTTTGCAAAGCAGTGATGGAGTAAACCTGTTAAAAAGGCAAAATATAGCGAGAAATATTTTAAAAAAGTAGTTGATTAAGATTTATTTTAATTGGTGAGGATCTTGATCTAGTCAAGCCAAAGAGAGGTGTTTCTAACTTTAATTAATAAGCTTTTTACCTAAAAAACAATTTCTTTAAAAATACTTTTGCATTTTCTTTTTCCTTTAAAAATACTACTAAAATACCTAGTAAACTTAATATATTTTTTATCGTAAAATAAGCTTATGTACATATTAAGCTTTTACACTCACCTAAGAAACACCCTGTATATATTTATATCTATTATTTTGTTTAATAAGCTTACAAGTAGAAGTTTCTACTTAAGTTAGGTACTTCATTTGATTCGACATTTTGTTTAAATTTTAATTTGAGGTTGGATGAATTTATTAATTTGTTTCAAAATAATAATGAAATAATTTTATTCGTGAATTAAATCAAATTACTTTTTTAATATAAGAATAATTCAAAATGAAAATAAACGAAAATCGGAAAAAAATCGAAAAGCGGGAATGATAAGATATTAAAGTGTTGCCAATTTACCAATAGCAATTTATAAATTGGAATATACAGTGTGACCCATTTGTTTGCGACTAACCCCTGTAAAATCTTTATTTATTGTGCGATTTTAACCGGATTTGTTTTAGATATTCAAAATGAAAATAAACGAAAATCGGAAAAAAATCGAAAAGCGGGAATGATAAGATATTAAAGTGTTGCCAATTTACCAATAGCAATTTATAAATAGGAATATACAGTGTGACCCATTTGTTTGCGACTAACCCCTGTAAAATCTTTATTTATTGTGCGATTTTAACCGGATTTGTTTTAGATAGATAGATAGATAGATAGATTTTTAAGAATTCATATTAGCGATTTTTTTAAACAAAATCTAAGCCCAGCACACTCATTAAAATGTTAAAAAATAAATACAATAAATACACTGTATAAAAAAATCTAATATTCATATTTTTGTCTAATCGAAAAATTGGTTGCTGGGCACATTTTGTATCTCAATAATAAATAAATATAAAGCTAAGCCCAATACATATTTGAATAGGGAAATACATTTTCTACAAAAACCTATCCAATCATAAGATATTTTAGGAACAAGTTTGAATTTTTTTTTTTAATTTTATAACCTGCAGAATAGTTCCGATTTTAAAATGAGTAGTACATATTTTTGTTGGAAATTAACTGTTCTACAAAAAAGTTTTCTTTTGTTATTTCGATAAAATTTATACATTTAATGCAAGCGTTTCAAAGATGATCGCAAAATAAGTTTTGTTTAATATAAAGCATATCCTGTATGGTCTAGTGGCTCTTAATATGGCAAGGGTTTTTTAAACTTTTTTCCTGTATAATTCATTAGTATAAAATTTATACTAATGAATTATACAGGAAAAAAGTTTAAAAAACCCTTGCCATATTAAGAGCCACTAGACCATACAGTTGTAATGTAATTATTATATGACAAATAAATGTTTTAAATGTCTCTCATCCAAGAATACCGAATACCGAAATTAAAAAAAAAAAAAAAATATTTTGAATTAAAATTTAAAAAAAATGTGAAATAGTTAATTAATAAGAACACAAATTTATAAAGATACACACATCAAAACGGTCTAGGGCACAAGAAATTAAAGTAGTTTAGTTTTAAAAAGAAATAATTTTTTGTTGAGAGAAAATGTGTATATTATTTGTTGGACATACCTATCTAATAAAATGTTATAAAAAAATCAAAAAAATTCTTCAAGGTTTATTTGTTCAATTTCAAAATATATTCCGTTACAGTTAAAATGCTCGAGCGCTTTTAAAAATGCCAAAGCATTTTAAAAAGTGCTCGGTATTTAAATTTCCCGCCAAAACTAAAAAGCTGGAATATGACAAAAACCTGGTTATTTTTCCAATGCTCGAAAAGTGCTTACAAATACGATATTTGGATTTCCCGCCAAAAATAAATAGCGGTATTATTACAACCAACAAATTAGTAAATTTTCCAAGCGTTTATTATTATTAAATGCTCAAGCATTTATGGACACATAAAACTTCTCAAGCTCTAATAAAAAATGAAATAATTACAAAGTGAATTAAATAAATAAAAAAGATTTTACAGAATTAATTCAATACTTTTTTTTTTTAAGAAAACAAAAGTTTTAATTAAAAAAGTTTGAGTTAAAAAAGTTTTTTTTAAGTTATGAATTATTCCAACTAGGTTTTAAATAATTAAATAATTTTATTAAATTGTTGCCTAAAAGAATGATTTGTTGTAGGTGTTTTTAATGTTTTTTTGCCATGAAACTTATTTTTAACATTATTGTTTTGTGTCTGTTTTTTTTACTTTCATATACCTATATTATTTATTATTAAGGAGATATTTAAATGTTTAAGGGTTTATTTTAATCTTCAGATATCAATCATCATACATACATAGGTATTAAGTATTATTTCTCAAGAGCAATGCTGACTGATTATGATGTTAATATTAAGAAAGAAACATAAAATAAACTAATATTAATCTTGCACTGGTGCTTGGCCAAACATTTTTTATTGAATATTATAATATAGAACCTATAGATATGCTTTTAAAAATATTTCTATAATTAAAGCACAAATACTTAAAATTTTAAACGCGATTATTTCGGAATGTTATTTTTTGGACAAAAAATTGATAGGATTTTTATATTTTGTAACCTTTGATATTTTGAACATTTTAATCAAATAATAAAGATGGGGCACTAATTCATAATGCAGTTGTCAGAGTTTGCATTTAGAGGACTTATAATACCTACCACCAAAAACAAATTTCACTTTGCCATTTTTTTTAAGGATAACCAGAGGTAATAAAGCAAAATTCTTCATAGGATTAATAGTTAATAACTAGAATAATAATTTAGTAAAAGAGTGAAAATTTTTTTGGTGGTAGGTACACTTTGCCCCATAATAATGAGTCCTCTAAATGCTGTTTAATATATAATTATTATAATATGTTTCCATGAATTTGTATATTTTATCTTTTACTATTTTAAAATGCAGTTGTCAGTGTTTGCATTTAGAGGACTCATATATATTTTCAAAATAATCGTACCTTAAATTGATTATCTACTTCATTGGTGACAACAGCTCTGCAAATATTGCCATCATCTTCACACTTGGCAAGACAAATTGTACCAGGGATCGGTACATCTTCCAGCATTTTAAGAGGAATTGAGTTCATGTCTGTCATAAGTTTACCCAAACAATCTAGACTTGAATCCAGTTGAACAGAAAAGTGGCATGGTCCATCGTTGACAAAAGAAACATACACAGAGTATTCTCGACCAGGTTCCAATGTCACTGCCTTGTAGGTGTTTATCTCTGTGGACCCTACAGGGGAGGCATTCAACTGTGGTGCTGGAGGAGGCATGATTGGAATTCCTTTATTAATGCTCATGCTTAATAAAACAGCTTGTTGTCCTTGCACAGGTATACATTGAATAAGCCCATTTAGAACGATAGACAGGTCAGCTCCCCCATAATAAAGCTTAATTAAAGGATACCCGGCACCATGCCCCACACAAGTACATTGAACTTCTCTGTATTTAAGCTCTTTGGCCAACTGTTCAAAAACAACAGCATTCCACTCACCAACAGTGTGAACTTCTGCAAATATAAAAGAATGGGCTAGTGGTGGAATTGATATGAAACTTGGAGGAAAGGCCTGCAAGTGTCTTAAGTTTTGGAAAGGAAGAATTTCTCTGTTGCCAAAGTCAAAGAAATTAACCTCAACATAACCATTTGGAGATACATTTATGATTCTTGCTCTGTAATATTTGTTGTCTTTATATTTCGCACAAACTAATTTTCCGTGTTGCACGTTCTCCAAGTTAATATCATATAAACCATTATCAAGTTGTGGGGTAAGGCTTTTTAGCACCCCTTCCACCAAAATAGGTGTTTGTTTGTCTATTTGTCCCCATAGCTTTAAAAAAGGACCCTCTGGCTCCACATGCGTGATATACAAATTTAGCGATTGATTTATATCCATTATAATTACATTAATCACGAAGACACATAACCCGACGAACACGAAACCGGCTTGAAAAAACTACGCAATTTTAAAATCTGATTGGTATCAAGAAAACCACCTGTCGGGAGAAACTTGCATCTTATTTTCGCGGTCAATTTAAATGTAACGCTTTAACTTAAAACTTTACGATTAAAGACTTTTGGTTCCTTTCTTTTCATTTTAAGCAGACTAATAAAAGGAAAAGAGCAGTAGTCTAAAGTACTAGAGAAAACTTTAAAACAAAACTAAAAGAGTATGTAATAAAACAGAAAAAGGATATAAAACTAGGAACTATAGTTTCTATAAGATTGTGTCTTATACCTATCCTTGTTTACAGCATAGAAAAAGGTTTACAGTTTAGGCTGTTAAAAAACAAAAAAAAACGAAAAAAACCTGAGTAAGCACTGACATGAGAACACGTGCCAAAAAATGCGGGATTTTTAAATGTGTATGAACAGAAATGATGACCCAGTAATTTGAACAAAAATATTTGCATGCACCGTTATAGAAAGTAAATTCTTAAAATAAATGCTAAAATAACTGAAGATATCAACTATTTTCGTTGTAATAGTTTTTTACGAGATTTTTTATGACTCATAGAACTATTTTACTTAACTTACACGTAATTTTTGAGTATGGGTGTACAAAAATTCACATTAAATGTGGTATTTATATTAAATTGTGTTGTCAATTAACAATATTTTTATTTATGCAATATTACATACCTAAGATACATTATCACAGAAATCCAATAGACAATAAAAATTCTTACTAAAATAACACGTAAACAGAACTTCCGGATGGCAGTTCTTTTGACAGTTGCGAGTGGTTTGTTCTGTGGAGTACTCATCCACGAAATGAACTTGAACTCAATTAACCGCTCACAAGCGTGTCTATATAAATTGCTTACGGCGAGAAGGTGAAATAATCATGTACATTATGTACAGTACATATTAGCAAATAATAATAACTAGTTATAACGATTAAATATACTTTTATATTTAGTAATCTTTGACACTAAACATAAAATATCCAGAGAAATTGATGAGCAAGCCTATGTTTAACTTTTAAAATAGCGTATTTTAAGATAACATTTTATGTTGCAGATACGATCCTACTCGTTAAAATATTGGTTTTAAAATTAATATTTTCTTCTGCTTAAAATTTGCAACTTTACTTTCTTAAAGTATACTATAGTTTCTTCTGGGAATGTTTTTCTTACGTACCTCCTTTGAAATTACATTGTTCTGAAATACCCAAGTTGGATAACATAGTAGGTAAAAGGATGCTATTTGCTATTTTTCGTTTAAATAAAAAAATAAAGTAGCCAATCACATGCGTGTTTTAGCAGAATGATTAGAGGTGGGATAACTATAATGTGCAGCTTAATATTAAAAATTCTATATAAAATCGTAGTGAAAAGTGACCTTAATTATGTGGTCACCAAGATACATGTTGTATCATGGATACATACCTTGTGTGGTCACTGTCAGTGTTTTAGTTTTTAGGTTATAACCTATAAACTATATAAACGAGTCGTATAGATTCAAAACCCGCCAAATCCATTTATTGAAAGTAAAGGACAGTAGATATGTTTGCAATACATATTAATTATGTTGTTATGGAAACATGTCTTCTGTCCTTTACTTTCAATAAATGGATTTGGCGGGTTTTGAATCTATACGACTATAGTTTAACTATAGTTTTAACTTCAGACATTCTTTTTTATGGAATATTATATTACACTACAAGGGCAGAAAGTGGCATCATGGCGCGCAGTTCAGGGCTCTCACACTTTCTGCCCGTGTAGTGTATACTATTTTTCTTGCTACCCGGCCGAAAATACAACCCAACCCAACCCGGCCGAAAATACGGGAAAAAGTTAAATGTGTATATATATCGAAACATATTGATGCCTGCCCCGACATTTGCGGCACGAGCGAAGCCTTCATAGCCCTTGTAGTGTAATATACTCGAAAATACGTTGTTTCGTCCCCGATTCCAATGCATCAAACGTAAATTTGACCAATGCATCAAACGTAAACTTTCTGCCGTGGAATCGGGGAAGAAACAACGTATTTTCGGCCGAGGTAGTAAGAAAACAATGTTTAAAACGATTTTAATCTGTATAAACAGCACAAACCCAAAGCATAAGAATTCAATTCTTAGAATTGTAAACATAAACATAAAAATGGCCGCCGTTAGATTCTGCGCAGTGTTGCAGTGATTTTTAGTATGCGCGAAACGAGATAAAACATGCCTTGTTGTGTGGATTGTGATTATTACATATTCATTCAAAAATCTCTAATTAAATAATAATGTTAAAATTACTTAATTATTATTAATATTAATAAAATAATATTATTTTATTAATAATAATTATTTTTAACATACCTACCTAATTATTTAATTAGAATTTTGAAAATAATATTATTTTAACTTATTTAAAAAAGTAAAGTATACCATATGGTTAATATTAACCTTTTTATTAACTTATTTATTAAGTCGCAAGTTAAAAAAAATAACAAAAACGAAAAGGTAAATTTTGTCCCACACAAAAAAATGAACAGTTCTCCTGAACCTAAACAACCAAAACACTGACAATGTGAAAAAATAAAATTAAGGTAGTTTCCCAATATGATTATTATTATCATAGCCATGGAATTTGTACAAAAGTGCTTAGAATACACCCTTCAAATTTTCACTGGGTTTAAAACTGGATTAAAAAAATTGGATGGAAACTTCATTGAAAAATTAAAAAGAATTTGTAACCTGGCAACGTGGCTTTTTGACGTTTTCTACGTCATATGTCACCTGTCAGTGTTGCTCAATATTATAAGAAAACAATTATTAGAATATTTTCAAAACCTTGTATCTCAATCGGATAAAATTTAAGTTTTTTTCATTTTTTTTTATGTGTAGAATACACCCCTGAAATTTTTCACTTCCCTTCCAACTCACCCTGTAAAACCATAATATGGTTTTACAGGGTATATTATATTGGCACAATTTAAGCGTACCTAAAAAAATACTTTGTTGATTTACAAATATTTATTATCATTATAGTGGCAGTATTATAGCAACAAATATCATTAGATAATATCTACACTTTATAGCTAACACTAAATTTATAAAAATGGACATTGCACAATAATTATTTTATAAATTTTCATAAAAGACGTTATGATTTGATCACATTAATGATATCTGCTATTGCCTATATTAATAATATACATATATTAAAGTTTTTTATTATTTACAAATGAACTAAAAGTAGTACAATATTATACAATATTTACAAGTCACAAACCAAAATAGAAATACTTTTTTAACAAACAACATAAACATCCTTTACTTAAAAACCTAAGTAAACCATCATAGTCAGAATTAAAAAAAACTACACTTTGTATGTTACTAAACAGTATTGTCAACTTAATTAAATTAAACAAAACTCTGCAGTCTTAAGGAAATAAGTTAAATAAATTATCTACAAAATTAACAAATAAATTAGTTCTGTTTTGGAGGCTCCTTGTCGATCCGCATATCCTCAATTTTGGCAACAATTTTTAGGGCGGGTCCCAATTTCATGGCCATCGCGTTCATTAAATGTTCTGCCTTCAGCAGCATCAAGGCTTGACCATCGATTTCTTGTATCAAGAAATCTTCAGCATAATCCGAACAACCAGGGAGGTTCTTAATGAATTCTACCACCTCAGGAACCTAAAAAAAATCAAATATAAATAAATAAAAAAACATGACCATTGTACAACATACTAAAGAAATTAATTAATTTATTTATGTCAAAGTTATGATTTATAGTAGACTGGGCCAAAAAAATCGATTATTTTTTTTTGTAAAGTATATCAAAAATATTGTTTGGGGTGACAAAAAAAAATTATGGCGAAAGTTTGAGTCCATAATATTAATAAGAGGTCTATTAATTATTATTAATTATTAAGAGGTCTATCATCGCAATTTTAGATTTTTTTTTCCCGAGCGAGTTTTTGCCTCAGAACTCCCAAACCATTGAGTTTAACAAAATTGAATATTTTTGAAGAAAATTGAATGCTCTACAAAAAAGGTTTAATTTGAATTTTCCGTCAGATGAACCGTTTTCTTACAATCATGCCTTTAAAATTGGTATAGTTTTACAATTTGATCTTTTAACTTTGGAATTTTGTAATTCATGTAAAAATCAGTACCCGAAAAAAAACCGGTAGATATTCTTATGGGAAATCAAATGCTCTACAAAAAAAGTCTTCTAACATTTTTGGCTAAATTCACTCCATCAAAAGTTATCCAAGGTTAAATTTGAAGTCAAAACGGAATTCTTGTTTCCGCTCTAGATTTTTTTTGGGTCAGTTAATATTTTCACTGTTACCTATTTAATCCTTTAAATAATAACAATCTTGTTGTTTTTTTATTGGAAATTGTTAATTAGTTATATAATACACATACACAAGAAAAAATCAAATTATCATCCATAAAAAAATAAATCTACAGAGAAAAAAACAAGAATTTCGTTTTGACTTCAACTTTAACCTTGAATAACTTTTGATAGAGTGAATTTAGCCAAACATGTTAAGAGGCTTTTTTTGTAAAGCATTTGATTTCCCATAAGAATATTTATCGTTTTTTTATGGGTACTGATTTTTACATGAATTACAAAATTCCAAAGTTAAAAGATCAAAATGTAAAACTATACCAATTTTTAAGGCATGATTTTAAGGAAACGGTTGATCTGACGAAAAATTTTATTTTAACCTTTTTTGTAGAGCACTTAAAAAACTATTTCTGAGTCAATTTTGTGTTCTGAGACAAAAACTTGCTGAGAAAAAAAATGTAAAATTGCGATGGTAATATTAATATTATGGACTAAAACTTTCACAATATTTTTTTTTGTCACCCCAAACCATATTTTCGATATATTTTTCAAAAAAAAAAATAGTTTATTTTTTTGACCCAGTCTAATAATACACTACAAGGACCGAAAGTTGAATTTTCGCATTTAGCACAGGGAGTAAATGTCTCGAGCATCATGACGCGCAGGGCCGGAAATTCAACCTTGTAGTCAGAAAATACATCTCTTAACTTCAGATAGTTGCTATACTGTAACCATTTAAGTAATATTTAAAGCCCATCAAAACAATGTTAATAATTAACAACAATTAAAAAATGATTTAATTGTTATTAATTGTTTTGAGGGGCTTTATTGCTTAAATGGATAGAGTATGGATGCCTTGTTTATTTTGTTTCCATAACAGCCCATATATGATGTGTGATATTTTGGAGCAAAAAATACTTGTCGAAAAAAATCACATTTTTTATACTAAATGCCTAAAGCATAAGTGCGCCATTTTCGGGACACCTTGTATATGGGACACCATTTTGGAATTAATTTAAGGATATTAAAAACATATTTAACGTAAAAGCACATTTTAGAATTTTAAAACATATAGAACTTCAAAGTGTTAAAAGGCTGTATAATTTTATTTTTGGACGAGATTTTAAAAACTAGATTAATTAAAAATGTGGGAAAAAAGTACTGGTAAAATGCAATGGGTTTATACCTAATTTATATTCATTTTATGGAACAAAAAATGTACTCTAATAATTTTACAAAACTTACCGTCCATCTGATGGGATCAATTTTTGGCGTATCATCTTCAGTAGTACCATTTGGACTGCTTTCAGCACCAGATTCAATATCAACCTCCATGCTGTTATCTTTGTCCCATTTATTTTTCTTATCTTTACTACTGCAAGAAAAAACATTCTTATTTAAAATACCATATTTACAATTCTATGAAGGTATTTTAATCTGACCCATAGTGATAAAAAGAGGCTTTTCGATGCATGATCTCGAAACGCCAAACTATTGGAAGTAATCAAGCCAAAACCTTATCAATGAATTCTTCACCACTAAGCCGTGGTTTATCTTTCTGGGGTCACAAATATTAAATGCTATCTATCTTACCTTTTGGAGCAAGCCACGGAACAAAACCGTTTATTCTTCTTAAACTTGGACTTGAGATCGATAGTACCGCATGCCTCGCATTTGGCCATGTCCCCTTTCGGAGATAGCCCATTCGGCGAAGGGGCATGCTTTTTGCGCGGGGGCTCGTCGTCCTTGTCGGACTGCGTGGGCTTAATGTCCCCTAACAGACTGTTTCTCGTCACGGGGAAGGGTTCCGACGACTCTTGTATGACGAAGTCTTCGATTACGTGAGTGAGCACTTGGGGTTTCACCATGGCTTTAGGGGGGCACCGTTCTTTCACTTCTTCGGCTGTGACGGCGATTGGAAGACCGTTTTCATTGGTTTGGTTGGATTGTTGGGATGGAACAGTGCCTGGGATTGGCGCCGGCTGCAGTCCGCTGGGTTCCACGCTGTTTAATGGTTTGGTTTCTTCTTTTACCTCAATTTGTGTCGAACCTGAAGCTTTAAAAAAAGATGATTAATGAATATGATTAAACTTTTTAAAATATTTTATTGCGCAATTTGTTGAAATAGATAAGATAATAATACTTTTTGCCCAATAGTACATGGGGTTTAAAACACATTTTCTCTATTTTTTTATTATTATAAACGAATTATTTTATTTAAACTTATAAAGGAACAATAAAAACTATATTTGAGAAGAAAACATTTTTTTATAAATTTTGAAAACTCATTCGTTGAGAGCTAGTTTTTAGAGATTCCTTTGGAAAAAAATACTCTCGCGGTAGGCAGGCAGTTAGTATAGCTCGTGATTAAACAAAGAATTAAAAAATATATATATTTAAGTAGTAATACAACTTGCATAATGGAAGGAGTTTCCAAAGGCTCTATGTCAAGAATTTTACTCCTATTGGCCTCTATATTTAATAAAAATCTTTTATGTTCCAAGCAAAATCTTCATATTAATAATTCTATATTTCAGCGTTTCAGGATAAAATATAGTGATTTTGTTGTAGGAAAAATATAAAATTAAATTTGCTATTTATAATGTTAAATCAATTTTTTTTATTTAACAAAATATATTAGATATTTATTTTTTCAATAAATTTAAAGTACTATTAGGGATTTTTTCAAAGTAAAAGTTTGTTACCACTTAAAATCCCACTATACCAGTTTATATTGCTCATAAATACAGGGTGTCCCAGATGGGCAAGTTTAAATTTTTTAATAAAAAACGTACTATTAGGGACCACTTCCAACTTTATTGTACCAATTTATATCGATTTTAAATAAAGGGCAGTTGGGCATTATTTAACTTTTTTGAAAACAAAAAATTGTACATGTAGTGCTTGTTCTTAAAAGAAATAAAAATGACCCAGCTGTACAGGGTGTATTTAAGAGCAATAAAAATTTGTTTAGCGGAGTTTTAAGTGGTTCTAAATAAGAATCCATGGTCACTTTTACTCTGAAAAAATCCTTAATAGTACTTTTCAAAATATTGATCCCAAAACAAGTGACTTATGCTTTTAAAGTAATGTGTATAGAAGAGTTTTTGTTAAGGGTGTGCAAATAGTGTTAAAATCAAATAAAACAGTGTTTGAATTGAATATTCAAACTATTCGAATAGTTCAAATTATTTGAATGGTTTGAATATTAGAAAATTTAAATTTCCTAATAATCTAATAATTAATAAATCAAATAAGTTGAAACTACTCCCACAATTAATAATTTGAAAAAAAAATATTTTATGTCAAATACCTACCTAATTGATTATAATAATTACCTACAATTTAAAATAATTCCAACCATTCGAATAATTTGAACTAATCGAATAATTCAAAAACTTCAAATATAATTATTCGTAAATTCGAATATTCGCACACCCCTAGTTTTTATAGTCATTTTGCCTCATACACCTCTCAAGAGCTGATGCTTTGATGCCCTTGATATATCATACTTAATTAAATTTTGTGGCTTTGCATTTAGAAATATTTAGATGGATGCCATTTGGGTTTGTAGAAAAACACAACCATAAACATGTAGTGCCTATGGCTCAACTTTTAACCAATGTTTAAAACTGGATGTCACCCGAAAAGAAAAACCATCTTTTTATGTTATGAATACACTGTAATTTACCCTTATAACAGTATAAAATAGATATTACCCTTATCACAACACAAACATTTTTTAATTTTGCTTCTTTTTAAATGACTTCTCTGGTTCATTTTATTAATAAACTTCATAAAACATACCTAAAATCTTTAAATGACACCTATCACGGCGCCTTGATTTTAAAACGTCACACACAAATGCTTATTTTAATAATTACGCGTTGCACCAAATTATCGATTTAAATAACTTGAATTTTCTTCATGGAGAACTTACTATGGGAAAACTTTTGACTCATGAGAATATTTAAACCGAAATTTCCGCCATTGACATTTTGATTGTCAGATTTTAAATTTACAGGATTGCCAAGTTTCATATTTAAATAGCTTATTTATAAATAAAACGCATTAAAAATCTAAATTGAATTCACATAATTGTCAACAAACAACAGCTTTATAAATGAGTGATATTTTTAATATTAATTAAATTTGCGCTTATAATGTAAAACGACGAATCAGTTGTTTTGGATAAAGACCATTCAACCATCATGGCCAAACCATGAAAAGTCTCTTTAGATTTGGAAAGTGACGTTTGTGGTGCGTCTTTTTTATGTTGCGTGTTCTTAAGGAATTAGTGGTATTTTTAACAATAATAGGTGAGTACTTACTGTCCATTCCATTTTGCTTGGCATTTTCGCCAGTAGCATGATTTCCTTGCTGATTATCCTCGGAATTGTTTTGATTGCCGGGGTCCTGTTTAATTTGCGGCACAGTTGCGGGCAAAGGAACTTGCTGAGGCGACGATATTGTTATTGTTTGTTGCTGTTGTTGCAATTGTTGAATATGTGTGGGACTGGCTGCTACTTGCGGAATGGCAGAAGGCTGAGCTGGAGCAGTCTGAATTTGTCCAATAATTGTACCGGGAGGTGCCATTTGCTGTAGTTGCTGTAAATAATAGTGGTTATTAGTTAATTGGTTTTAAGAGGGTTTCCAAGAAAATAATTAGTTTTGTTGTTTACCTGATGAATCATTCCCATTTGCATTTGCTGCTGTGTGACTGCCAAATTGGATTGAAGTCCCTGTATTCCTTGTTGGATAGTTTGTCCTTGGATTGTTTGTTGCAACTGTTGTACCTGCTGGCTGCCTTGGGCTGCCGACATTGACACTACAGGCATTATGGGTCTATCTCCAGATATTTGTATTTGTTGTTGAGGAATTCCTTGCAAGGTTTGAACTGCTGTTAAAAAATTCATTAACATCTTAAACTACAAATTTAATATTTTCAACTTACTCATTATTGGTTTGGGTTGAATGTGCTGGGGTTGTTGGCCTTGTTGCAATTGGAACTGTTGGATTGCTTGTTGCTGTTGATTTTGTTGAATGGCCTGTTGTTGCAAGATAACCTGTTGCGTTTGTTGTTGCTGCTGTTGCTGTTGATTCTTGTTCTGATTGGCCAATTGTTGAGCTTTCTCTGCTGTCATTGGCGAGCCAGGTGTCATAGTTGTTAAGCCAGTCGAAGTGTTCATTACCAACATTCTAAAAAGGACGTTGGTATTATAATTTTTTTTGTCGTTTTTTTTTTTAATATTGTACATCTTTTAAAAGCATTGTAAGGAGGGAACGAAGCAAAGCCTAAACTTCACGCATTTGCTCAGAGATCTCCTTGGGTTTATATAGGAAATTTTGTACTTTTTAAGATAAACACACAAAATACAAAAATTAAAATGTTTTCTAAAAAAACAAGTTAAATAATGGACTTATTGGTTTATCTTAAAAAGTTTAGTTAACTACAGATTTTACATGTGAAAAAATGAAGTTTTTGATTTCCCGTTCCTATTTAGATTTCATAAAAAGGTGAATTAGGTTCTACTTACTTGTTATTAACAATATGATGCTGTTGAAGATTGTTGAACGATTTGATTTGCGTTTGGTTGGCAGCGTCGGCCTTTGGAGCGGGGGAAGTCCTGATTTGAGGAGCTTTGGTCCTTATCTTGGCTCCAGGCTTACCACCCATAGAAGCCTGCAAATAATATGTCTAATTACCAATTGGTAATTACACGAAACACTTAGACTTGCAGATACGAATAAATTTTTACTTGAATTAGGTTACAAACAATTGAATGCCACAAAAATGTTTTATTTTAATTTTGAATAGCTTATAGTGAATGCCGTTGGTTTGAAAGAAGACCGTCAGAAGTCAAAATTGCAATTTTTAGGTTTTTGCTGTTCATACTTTTATCAGAAACAATGTTAAAAAATATGTAGATTATTAATGAATTTAATTTATTAAAATTGTTTTTTATAAGAGGGTTTTGACACGACAGTCTTCTTTCAAACAGGCAATATATTATTTTACGGAAAAAAAGCGTTAGTGAAAGCGGGCGTTAAATTAGATACAAACAATGAGTTTAACCTAACTCGTTTTAAGCTAAGCTTAAGCTTACTTACCGGCGTTTGAGCAGAAATTGTTTGAGTGGAGACCGAACTTGCAGGTCTAATGTTGGCCGCATTGGAGGGCAGAATATTCAATGGTCTTGAGGTGGCTTGCTTGGGCTGTATATTTTCAGCAGGTTTTTGTTTTTGTATTTGCTGAACTGTGCCCTGGGTAGCAATAGCTTCTAAAAAATAATACAAAATTAGATTCTCCTATTATCACAAAAAACTTAATATTGCATAGTTCATATTTATCACAGCTTTACATTACTATGAGATTCAAATTTTTGAAATATCTGTACTGAAAATTAAGATTTTTCAAGATGTAAAAACTGCTCATTAAAAATGTCCATTTTGGTGCAAAAAAATAAAGTTTTTACAATATTTAAATAAATTTCTTACGATTTTGTTGGGTTTGTATGGTAGCTGCTTGGGGCGATTGTTGAATGAACATTCCAGGGCTACCGTCCGGTTGCGTGCCCCTGATGAAAATAGGGGCGTTGGGGGCTAATAGAGCTTGCGATTGGAGACCATTGGTGGTCCATACTTGCGGGATACCATTGGTGGCAAATTGCCATGGTGCAAATTGCATTTGCTGTCCTCCAGGCTAAAATTATAATATTTTGTTAATAAAAACGTTAAAAATGCACACTTTCTATATTTAAATTAAGAAGTAATTATAAATAAAATAAGGCAGACACTTAAATTAATATTAATTAGTAATATACATGCTACTTTCTCAGGTGATAAAATTAAACAATAAGTATACATAAAATATAATTAGTTGATAGCAGTTTATATAACAAAAAGAAGAATTGAGTTATAATAAAGTTAGTAATATACAATCTATATAAACAAACACAAGGGCAAGAAGCTTTTTCGTATGAGATTTGTTTGGCAGGAATGTATTAGTGCGCATTGAATAGATAATGCTGTTAGTAATAATGTTAAAGTTTTATAGGGGGCTTAAGGTTATCCTAATTTAAAGCATAAAAGCATTGCTTGTTATTCTAGATATGCTTTTAAGCTTTTAAACAAGAAAGTCCCTTTCCAAATTAACTTTGTTGTAATTTTATTTTCGAAATAATCCTTTAAAACATACAACCTTCTCACTGCATTTAGTGTGTAACTCGAATACTACTCTAATAGTTGCAGATAATACAAAGAACAAAATAATACAAATCTTGCAAAATTAAAGGACTTTCTTACTTGCAATGGCGATATAATTTGCGCAGTCGGTTGGGAACCGAGCATTGCCTGCGAGACCTGCACGCACTGGCCCTGTTGCGGTTGCGCTTGCGCAACCTGACCTGCGCCTGTTGTAATTTTTTGCACAACCTTTTGGCCGCCCATAACCTACGTAAAACAACAAAACACAACGGACGTGAGTAAAGACACCAACAAAAATCGAAGCATCAACATTTTGTGTTATGTTGTTATTTGGCCCATCTAATTAGTAAAAACCTTAGATTAAATAGTGGAGAGGTGAATAATGATAAATCCAATATTTAATCGAAGGTAACCACAAACAGCACATTCAAGTACTAGTATATTGGAAAAACATGAAAGTAAGCAATTTGTACATTGCAAGAAAAACTATTCTTACCTTATGCATTTCTTGAGGTTTTTGTTGATTCACTTGGCCATTTCCCTGGGAGTGATTGGGCAGTATATTTGGCTGTGAGCTTATTACGCCCAGTTGGCTAAAAACCAATGTTTGTTGGTTTTGAGTTGTTGGTATTGTAGTATAACCAGGAAAATTTGCTAAAAAAAAAGTATGTTAATTTTACAATATAAGGTTTGGCAGGAGATGGGGAAACAAATATGGCAACTATGTTTCTGATATTATCTTGTTATAAATTAATTATTTTTTAATCACTTCTATTATATTTAGTTATTTTATTGATATAGCAAACTTTAGATCTTATCTTTATCTTATGTCATCTACTTTTAAGAATCAAGAAAAAAATGTATGGCCTATTTCTATGACTTACTTGCTTGGTTACCTTGTATGACTTGCTTGCCTTGGGCAGTGGTAATCATGTGAGGGGTCAGCTGATTTCCTTGGAAAGGTTTCGTGATAACTTGTATTTGTTGTGGGTTGATGCCAGGATGTAAGGCAATATTGCTAATATTACCGGGCATCAACAGTTGACCCTGGGGGTTGTACAACTGCTGCAAGTAGGTTGGGTTCTGCATGGGTTGCTGTATAACTTGCACTCTTCCATGACTCCAATCAGCAGCGTTGATTTGCTGAGAATGCGCTTGATTTTGTTGCAAAGGAGACATCGTCGTTATCGTGGTGCTACCGGATTGAGCCGTGGTCAAAACTTGACCGCCTTGGGTCTGAAGTACTTGTCCCTGTTGGGCCACTTGTTGGTGCATTGATACTGAATGCTGCGGGGGACCCATGGAGGTGGCAGCCTGAACACATTGACCACCTAAACAATAAAGATTTTGTTGTGTTACAAACAGTGGCGATTTTGAGGATTTGACGATTTTGCTTACTACGGCACTAATTATAAATTATAATTTTTATATATATTAAAAAGGGGGGTTTACATACCGACTGTAACCTGTTGCAAGTGAGGGCTTTGAGCAGGCACTAAAGTTTGCTGTTGCTGTTGCTGCTGCTGCTGCTGTTGTTGTTGTTGTTGCTGCTGTTGTTGCTCTTGTTGCTGTTGCATCGCAACCTGCTGCATCTGTTGTTGCTGCTGCTGAACGGCTTGCGCCTGGGCTTGAGCCTGGGCTTGAGCCTGAGCTTGGGCTTGCGCCTGAGCCTGCGCGTTCGCGTCGGCCATCTGCTGCTGCTGTTGCTTTTGCAAGTCGGCCATGTTGTTGTGATTCACGCTGTCGACGCTTTGCTTGATGAACTCGTGTCCCCTGTCCAAATTCAACAGAGTGTTTGCGATGTCATATTTGCAATCGTCCGCAGTGATATCGTGAATTCCCGCTTTCTGAGCCAAAGTCTCCAAGCACTGCAACGACCGACTGCCGGGTTGTTGAGTGTTTCCGGAATTCTGGGTTGATTCCGGTTCCTGGTGGTTTTGGTGTTCTTCGTTGTTATTGTTGTTGTTTAGCTTGTGCTTAGAGGGGGTGCTGGTATTCGTGGAGTCCTTTAAGGGCTGCTTTTGACTATCTACTTGTTGTAGGTTATCGTAATGCTGAGATCTGCAAGATAAAACAAGACAATATTAGTTTTTGATGCCCAACTTGAAAATAATGCATGCTGAACATATAGCAAAAAGAAATTACACTTAGATGCAACAAAATTGGCACAGGGTAAGTAAATTGTTTTGTATTAGTTTGTCGAATTAAATGTACAATGCTCCACACCTCAAAGTCCCACCACGTGACCACGTACGGAACGCAGTCTTTTGAAAATTTGACATTTAAGGCTTTTCAGGTTATGTATCTGTCAAAGTATAGTCAATGAAAGAAATAATATTTATAGTGTTACCGCTTATGTTTAAGCGTTAAAAGTTAATAAATCTTTATGGTATCACAATAACAATGGTTGGTTTAAGAATTTAGGAATATAAATACTGCATTTAATGAAATTCCAAAGTGTAAGCTGCAATATAAATTATATTTTTGTGCATTGGGTCTACATTTCTCCATAAAATATTTTTTAACTAAACACCATTTATTAAAAAAAATTATATTCTCTATTATGAAATAAGAATATCTGTATCAAAGGTAGGTTAATGTATAAGAACAAAAAATATCATCTAATTTTGTATTTTAAGGTTAGAAAAATCTATTTTGACCAAAATAAATAAGTGGATTATTTGAAAGAGTGTGTTAATATGGTCATAAATAAATATAGGTATACTAAATAATTGTTGAATATAGTTCAAATTAAATTGAAGCTTTTATACTTCTAACGACAAAACTTGTGCATACCTCTCGGCATACTAACTTTAAGTCAGATTATAAGAAAACAAACAATTTTTAGAGAAACTTGCAATGTGAAAATATTAAATACTCCCATGACATGTGATTTATTAAAATTTTTAAAGTTATAATGATTTTTTGATGTACCTAGACAGGGCCGGATTAAGCCAAAAGGGGGCCTGGGGCTAAAAAATGTTGGGGGCCCTCAAAGTTCTTTATTAAAAGAAAAATGTAATTTTTAGTAATAATAATAAAAAGCCAATAAAAAACAACTTAGGTATTTATTATTGATCTTTAAAACGATTTTTTTCGAGCTTTTCTATTAGAAAATTCGTCAATTAGATCATCAAAGTTTAATGAAGACAAAAGGTCATTCTCAATATTCATTAAAGTTAAATGAGATAATCTTTCATCACCCATGCTAGCTCTATATTTGTTTTTTATAAATGAAAGTTTTGAAAATGACCTTTCTGCTTCACAATTTGTTATTGGAATGCATAAATAAATTCTTAAAGCTATATAAATTTTTGGAAATACTTCTAATAAATCCTTTTCAATTAAAAGGTCTAAAAGGAAAGGAACACTAATAAATTTTGAAAATATATTTTCAAAATTAATATTCTTTTTAAAATTTAAAAATAGGAGTAGTTTGCATTTGTTTTGTTAGTTTTGAGCCTATAGTTTAAACTTTACTTTACTATTTTACTATTTACTATTATTAATATTAATTGTACCTAATGGTAAAGTATTTGTCATATCGATATCGAGGGTAAAATGGTATAAAGGGATACCATTTTATTTTAAGTAAATTAATCGTAATTTGGTTGGAACTGATCTTACCTTACGTTTAGCAAATCCGCTAAGGTATTTTCTGCCACTTGACATTTTTTTAAATTAAATTGCACTTTTTCTCAACTTTTTATTACCTTACCTCATGCACGCACAGTGGAAATATAACTAACTAACCCAAGTAATATCCATAAATAAAGCGTCTAATTTTTTACCATCCTTTGGCGGCTAGCCGTCAAAGGATTAATTGTTTTAAATGTGCCGTGCGGCCGCGGCCTTTTGACACACTTTGGTCTATCGGCGACTATTAAAGGGTTGATAAAATAAATCATCTTTTAATAAGTACCGATCGGCTACTGTCGGCCGCTAACAAAACATGACAAATTATATTTCAGTATGTTTTTTAATAAACAATATTATAGTAGTTTTATTTTATGTAGGAATTAAAAATGTGTACCTATTTAATATTTTGTTTAAAAAAAATTCTGTCGGTGGTGTCGGGGGCCCCGAGTGGCGGGGCCTGGGGCTATAGCCCCCCTAGCCCCCCCCTTAATCCAGGGCTGTACCTAGATCAAATTCAGTCGAAGCTTTTTAACTATTTGTATTGACAAAACTTTATGTAGGTACACTTTAAGCTGGATAAGAAAAACTACCACATTTTTAAATACCATATTATACAGTCAAATAATCCAAAATACTTATTTATTTTGGTCAAAATAAATTTTTCTAACCTTAAAATTACAAAATTAGATGATATTTTTGTTATAATATATTAACCTACCTTTAATACAGATATTCTTATTCCATAATAGAGAAGCTAGATTTTTTTATATAAATGCTGTTTAGTTAAAATTATTTTATGGAGAAAACCAGATATTTGGACCAAATGCACAAAAATATTACTTATTTGGCACCATACACTTTAGAATTTAATTAAATGCAGTATTTATATTCTTAAATTCTTAAACCATCCATTGTTATTCTAAGGTTATAAAGATTTATACATTTTTAACGCCTAAACATAATATTATTTTTTTCGTTGACTATACTTTGACAGATACATAACCTGAAAAGCCTTAAATGCCAAATTTTCAAAAGACTGCGTTCCGTACGTGGTCACGTGGTGGGACTTTGAGGTGTGGAGCATAGTACATATTTAAATATTAAATTATTTATTTAATATTCCCGCATGTGAAATCTGCAGTAGCAACAAAGCCACAAGAAATTAAACTCGTTTCAGCATGCTGGTAATGCAATCGATCGTGAAGTTGGCTGCAAAGAAGCGTTTTAAACGCACAAAACGGTATTTTGTGTAGCGCGAATAATAAATTCGGGTGCGTCGAAAATAAAGAAAGGGCCAGGAAGGAGGGTATTTTGTTTCTCATTAAGCATAGTGGTGCTAATTTCAACCCCTCCGTAATCCAAGATTTCCGGTGTGGAATTTTAAGCGCGGCCACCAGCATACGCAAGTAATACAGAAAAGTGTATTCGCGAATATGATGATAATAACGATATAGCCGCGGTTTCTCATTCTACAGCCTAAAATATTTATCGCTTTCGCGAGCACTGTCTCGGTTATACGTTTTGGAGCACATGTACAATTTAAACAAATCATTTTGGGTAGGTATATTTTATATTTTGGTTACCAGACATATGTTTGCAATGTGTTTAGAAAGGTTTGAATGAAACTATTAAATTTTGCAAACTTAAAATAAAAACTAAATTCAATTGATTAAATTTATTTAACCTAAAATTAAATTCGACGAAAACTAAATGCCTAAATTGCAAAACTAAAATCAAAAGGATTGGGTTTACCTAATTTTCTATTCTTAAAATTTTATGTGATCATGATATTTTCTATTTAACAAATCAGTAAACAAACACCATTTAAAATCATCTGTTCGAAAAATACAATGCCAGTAAACAGCGCGTTATCATTGAGGCTTCAAAGAAACGAACAAAAAATTGTTTAGTCTAGTCTTTGTGTTTTTAGTTTTTTCGTTGCGCTAACATAACAATAGTGTACATTTTGCAACGATTGCGAATTGTTAATGTATAATTTATAATTTTTTACTATTTGCATGGGTATCGTAAAAAAATATTTATTCTCCAAATTGGAAAACTTGGTATTCATGAAACGCGACGGTCGGGGATCGGTTTTTTATGCAATTACAGTCGATGCCTGTGGGTTATGGTTTTTCCTCACCCTTCGCAAACATGCTCCCCCCGACATACTTAAAGCGACTTTACCAACTTTGAATGGGAATTTAATCCTTTCCCTGAAGGAGATTTTTCGATTGCTTTATAAACAATGTTATCTTAAAAGTGTGTGTTTACATCTATAAATTCGCAAAATAGTTTTATTATAAAAAAACAGTTGAATATCCAATTTGTTTTATTGGATGCTGTTGCAAGGGCCAGAAATAAGTTTTTTGGACAATCAGGAAAAACAAAAAAATAAAATAAAATAATCTATCTATAGAATAAAAATGACATTACACAAGCGCAAAAAATGCTTCAACTTTTTATGGTAGATACAAACACACTAGTTAAATATTTATTATAATGATCCAAAAATAATAAATAATAACACTAATTTTCAAATTTCTTCAAAAATTTTGTCTGGGTAGTTTTTCAAAGTATTTTTTTGTAGAAAATCGTCAAAAAAGTACTAGTTTTAAGGTTAGAACGTCTGTCTGGCAGATATCATATTTTATGGTAGTATACGAGGGACTAAATTATCTATGATGATTTTTATTTTATTAATTAATGCTTTTCCATTAAGAAACGCATGCGTGAAAATTTCCAGATATTTCCAGCCACTAAAAAACATTTTTTTTCGTCACATAATATAATACCCATCCTGTTATAATATAACAATTATCTATTGGCATTCTAAACGATAAATCAAAATTTTACCCAAACCAAACCCATACATTTCATTAAAAAAATTCTAAAATTATCTGAATAAAAATGGAACTTTTCAGTTTCTCTCTGACCTACAGAATCAAATTCAGTGTAAATGGTTTTTTTAAGTAACTTAAAAGTGGATTATCAAATTTTGATGATCCAGATAAAACCTTGTAGGTAGACCACCGGTGCAATAAAATAAAATAATACAATTTAACAATTGAAGCTATTACGGCAGAAAGGTTTTAACCCACAAATTAAACATCACATAGTAAACATCCTTATACGCGTCGAAAATATTACCATGAATACTTCTTTAATTAAGTTTTTGAGGTTATTGGTGCCATATTTTTGATAGAAATGGAAGTTAACATCTTTTTGCACACAATATATTGAATTAAAAAACTCCATTAATAGCTTTAAACAACAAAAATGAATTATTAGAAAAGTTACATTTTTATATGCTTTATAAAAATATTTTAAAAATTAGGTCCCGGCAAAATTTGATGGCTTATAAAATTTATAACTTTAACAGAACCGCTTTTCTTTTTATGGTTCATAAATATTTTTATAATTAAATAATAAATGTCACAAGTTAACAAACATTAACCTGGTAAGTATTAAAAATGTTTTTAACCCTTAGTAACTCGCGCGGTGTATTTTATACACAAAAAATATCCATATCCTATCATTTATTAAATATAGTAAAGGTTTTGACATTAATATATATAGCTATAGCTCTTTTGAAATAAAGTTTTGACATGGTGCGAATTTTATTGCAAATTTAAAAAATGTAGTTTTTTAATATTGTACTTTAAATTTTGTTAAATATATTATAATACGCTAAGGTATATAAATATATAGAAAGTTTTATAAATTAATATGCATAAAACATACGGTGTATTTTATACACCAAATCAGCAAATTTTAGTTAATATTACAACGAAATGATGACCAAATCGTATAAAAATAATAAATCACGTGTCAAATACTAAACAAAGGTTAGGTAAGGGTGTACAGTCAAAGAAAAATGTTTACAGGTAATATCTCAAGAATTGCAACAGCGAGTATTAAAATTATCTATTTAAATACCTACGCCTGTTTTAATATGAGAGAGGGGTCAGTTTTTTTAAAAGCTACTCGATGCTTTATTCTTTGCTGAAGTAAATTTTATACAAATCTGATAAAAATTGTACATGGGCCATACAAATAACAAATAAATAACCGACGAAGGTATTCTTTCTGGACATTATTTTACCTTGGCTAATGAAAACCCTAAATTTTCATTTATCTAGTGTAATCAGATCTTGAAATCAAAACAAAAGGACTCCAGAAAAGGAAATACTTTTGTAATTGTAATGAATGTTTTTGGTCTATTCGACGAACATGGCCAGTCCAAGAGGGATCTATGGAGCGAATAAAATTCCGAGAAGTTATGAGTTTGTCTACCTGCATTCTTTTACTAAGGGTTAAGAAAGGCCAAATAACACCTGAAGACCTGATGTGGGCCGGCCCCTCAGCTTGTTTTTATAACTGACCATCATGATGGTTGAGGTAGTAGAAAATACATACTGGTTTGTTTTTAAAATTATTTTGCTACTTACATTGGATTATCACTCAAAAACAAAACTTCCTCATTGGAATCCTTTAATAATTTCTTTCGCTTCACTTTTTTATTGTCGAAAAAATATTCCCTAAGCGTTTTAACCTTTAGCGGTTTCTTGTGCTTCAGTTTGAAAATGCCCTTGATTCTGTCCGATTTCATTATCTATTACTATCACAAAACTAAAATAACGTTTTTTGTTCTAATGCACTTAAAATATCACAGCACTGGGTCCGGCATCGTCCTAACTGAGTGGCTATAAAGGCACAACTGAGAGATGTTTCTATGTTGGGCCTGGTTTTTCAGGGTTTTATGATTTAATGACCTGAAGAGGCCGAGAGAGAGGTCCACACATTTGCTCGGGTTCGTTCAACGTACAAAACTGGGGTCGTGTTTTCAACAACAATAAACACTTCCCTTACTCACTCTCCTAGCATGCATAGGGGCAGTTTATTGGTCGACACGGCACACTAGTACACACACTGTTCCGAACGCACTAACTTACTAGCCTTTGCGAACAATAAAATTAAAGGGTACATTCAGCTTCGTCATACAGCGTGCTTATGAAATTCGATATTGACATGGGTGCGAACTTAACTTCGACATAACATTTCTACGAAAATATTCGTAAATATTACCACAAGAAAGTTACCTGTTTTATATTTTTACTTTTACCTGAAGTTTATAGCGAAATTTTTGTGAATATAGGAGTACCTTTCACAAGGTTAAGGTAAATATACATTATTCGTTAATTACACAAGATTTGAATTTGAGGTTCTTTTTTTAATACCCTAAAAACTAAAATAGGCCTATAGACAGGAGAAACATGGTGATGCCCTAAAAGTTACGGGCCGAAACAAATATTAATTTATAAGACGAAAATTTTAACTCAAAGGGAAATCCGGCTTTTGCAGAGAATGGTTTTAAACTGGATTATATTTCAAGAACATTCATTAAGTTTCTTAATTAAGTATCCGTATTTCAAATCTAAATCCCGCATCTGAAAAAATGGGATTATGAGAATTTATGCACATATTTAAGGAACAAACGGTTTTTTTTAAATTAATTAAGTTTGTGTTTAGCATATGAATAAACTGATCTTGGAATTTGATTGGCACTAATGCAATGTTGGAAGTTTTTTCGATTCTTTAATACATTCTTTAAAGCAAAATACAGGCAGTGACAAAAAGCCTTGACCAATTATTTTTAATAATAAAATTATTATTTTCACGTGCATTTGCTCATTAAAAATTATAATCGATTTCTCAGAAATTAATCAGAAATTTCATCAGGAATATAAAAGAGAAATCAGTTTCCACGATTTAAAACCTACATCCTGAATAAGCGGCGTGTTTAATTATTAATTTTAATTTTTTATTATAAAATAGGCATTTTTTCGTTCATTACATCAAAAAACTTCAGTCATATTTTATATCGATTGCAGAATTTTTTGGTAAGCCCGGCTTTGCAGACTCTATAAATAATGTATATAATACAGGAAAGGGATTCCGCTCTTATATCTGGCTTATCAGGAAAAACGTGGGTCCTTTTAATGCAGAATTTCCAGGAAAATCCAGTTTAGTCCCCACTTTAATATCGTACGATGTTCGAAATGCATTTATAACAATTTTTATGGAGTAAATCGATTGTTTCTAAATATAGACAGAATGTAAACTATCTACAAAGCGAGATAACCTAATAATAGACAAATACATTTATTTATATGTCGTTCTATAATGTTTTTTTATGGGTCTATGACACTATCTTATAATAAACAACTAATGCAAATCTGACAAACAAAAATCCAGACATCACAGATAAAGGCGGGTTTATTTAGATCAACCATTATTAATTATTCAAATAATTCATTGCTTATGATTAATTTCTTGAAATCAATTTAATTAAAATGCAAAGGCACTTTTTCTGCCTAATAAATTGATTGATCCGGATTAAGACTTTGACAAGATAATTAATTTAAATCTACTTAATTAATTTAAATGCAAATTATTGCACATTTCGCATGTCCATCATTATTTATATAAAAAAATAAATATTTTTTCAGCGTTGGTTTCATTTTGCTGCTTAAGCATGTAACGGTTGTTGTTTTTGCAAAATAACACCAGCAAGTCTTTAATGGAGGAAGTAATTTTAATTGCCTCAAAGTAACTGGTTTGCGTTTTTTTCGGAAAACCTTGCACCAGATCATTGATTAATATTTTAAATGGGCATGCACTATCGTGTTATCTACGGTTACGAGAAAATTACGTTTTTGTACCGTTAATGGTAATTTCGGTCGTTGTCTTTTTTCACTGACAAGTGGATTCGTTTTTAATAGGGGACATATTTTATCTCCTGGATAGGCAGTCAGTCTATTTTTAACAAGACGCTTTTGTGGTTTTATTTCTTCCTACCAAAGTATAAATCAGTCTGCATTTAAAATGAAAGACGACAGCTGTTTTAGCCGTTTTGCCCCATGGAATGAATTTACCCATTATCCAAAAATGACGATAAAAAACGCCCATAAGTACACACCCAAACAAAAGTTTTTTGTAAAGGTTTTAAAACTTAACTTACAGTAAAGTAATAACAATTAACAGCGTTTTGGAAAAATTCGTTCGTTTTCTCTTATAAACACCGTTAGTCAGCTAGACAGGATAATTGGCAATAATTTACCGAATGCCTCCTTTAGACATTATTATAGTTTTCCGAGAAAGCCATTTCCATACGATTTGGTCCGTTGTGTGCATTTGTGCGTTTCGTTTTCGTGACAGTGCTCCGCCCCAGCGGCGTACCCCCGGGGAGGGAACCTTTGAACCCCCCTCTGCACGTCGCTCTTTGTGAGGCTTCCCTGGCAGATTTTATTAGAACCTACAATTCATCCCATGTGCACATGCATGCAATGCAAGAGGAAAAGAGAAAGCGCGCTATATAGTCGAGCTTTAAAAAATTCTATCCCGTCCCTCTCTCGAGTGACAGATAGATTGCTTTATGTGTTATTTACACGGATTGATTTTTCTGGCGTTTTATTTTGTTTTGTTGCGGGTCGCGAATAAATTAACAGCTGAAATGGAATGATAAATGAATAATCAGATTTTCTTTTGTTTATTCTATCTAATTTTTTTTATATTGGATAGCCTAAATTGCAAATTAGGTTTACAAACATGGCTTGGGGTTCAGTAATGGATTTCGGAAATTCCAACAAAAACCTACCAACATGTCCACGACAGTTTTTAAAAAAGTTTGTTTCTTATTAGGAAGTCCGAAAAAGCAATTACTTGGATACAAAAAATATAAGAAAACGAACAGGACAATAGGAATACTTTGTAATAATAAATTTGTATAGTATACTATTTTTAGATAAACATAAAGATTTAATACATTTTAGACAATATTATTTACCGCTCAATTTAAGTTTTTTTGTTTTTTAGAAAAACTTTTTTTTATTTATATCTAAAAAATATCAACGCATAAAAAAATCGAAAGGGGTTTTCAGAATTTGGCAAAAATCAGATTTTAATCGGGAAAATGTATACATAGTAATGTATAGTAATCGATAGAACTCGCAAAAATAAAAAGAAGAGTTTATTTAAAAAACTTTTCAGGTTTTTAGTAATGGGCAAATGGCTTAATTTAATTTAATTAAATTTAGTTAATCCAAAAGCGGCGCTTGTGCATACCAAATCGATAAAATTTGGCTAAGTACGCTACTGCTTTTTTATAAGTTTATTATTATTTTTAGATTAGACAATTAAAAATAGAATTTTTTTATCTGCTGCTTTTTTTCTCTATTTTGTTTAATTTTCAAGAAAAAAATAAAATTTGTTTGGGTATTTGCAAGCCTCTGGAAAAATTATGGAAACGAACTTAATTTTTTTCTTGAACATTAAGCCATGGCTTAATCTGCAGATACAGAAAAAATAAATATAATATATATTATATAAAGAAGCAGTGAAGTGACTTTTTTATTTTTTTAAATAAAAAATGCAACCCTCTGTCAGCCCTGGATTAAGGGGGGGGCTAGGGGGGCTATAGCCCCAGGCCCCGCCACTCGGGGCCCCCGACACCACCGACAGAATTTTTTTTAAACAAAATATTAAATAGGTACACATTTTTAATTCCTACATAAAATAAAACTACTATAATATTGTTTATTAAAAAACATACTGAAATATAATTTGTCATGTTTTGTTAGCGGCCGACAGTAGCCGATCGGTACTTATTAAAAGATGATTTATTTTATCAACCCTTTAATAGTCGCCGATAGACCAAAGTGTGTCAAAAGGCCGCGGCCGCACGGCACATTTAAAACAATTAATCCTTTGACGGCTAGCCGCCAAAGGATGGTAAAAAATTAGACGCTTTATTTATGGATATTACTTGGGTTAGTTAGTTATATTTCCACTGTGCGTGCATGAGGTAAGGTAATAAAAAGTTGAGAAAAAGTGCAATTTAATTTAAAAAAATGTCAAGTGGCAGAAAATACCTTAGCGGATTTGCTAAACGTAAGGTAAGATCAGTTCCAACCAAATTACGATTAATTTACTTAAAATAAAATGGTATCCCTTTATACCATTTTACCCTCGATATCGATATGACAAATACTTTACCATTAGGTACAATTAATATTAATAATAGTAAATAGTAAAATAGTAAAGTAAAGTTTAAACTATAGGCTCAAAACTAACAAAACAAATGCAAACTACTCCTATTTTTAAATTTTAAAAAGAATATTAATTTTGAAAATATATTTTCAAAATTTATTAGTGTTCCTTTCCTTTTAGACCTTTTAATTGAAAAGGATTTATTAGAAGTATTTCCAAAAATTTATATAGCTTTAAGAATTTATTTATGCATTCCAATAACAAATTGTGAAGCAGAAAGGTCATTTTCAAAACTTTCATTTATAAAAAACAAATATAGAGCTAGCATGGGTGATGAAAGATTATCTCATTTAACTTTAATGAATATTGAGAATGACCTTTTGTCTTCATTAAACTTTGATGATCTAATTGACGAATTTTCTAATAGAAAAGCTCGAAAAAAATCGTTTTAAAGATCAATAATAAATACCTAAGTTGTTTTTTATTGGCTTTTTATTATTATTACTAAAAATTACATTTTTCTTTTAATAAAGAACTTTGAGGGCCCCCAACATTTTTTAG